ACAAAACAAAACAAAACAAAAAAACAAACAGGGGATATAACTTAGTGAAGGAGTTCCTGCCTAGCACATGTGTAAGGCTCTTAGGGTCAACCTCCTAGTACCACAAGAGGGGTGGTCTTAAATGGCATAAAATAAAGGTCTGTTAATCCCTTGACTTCAACTCTGAAGTGACAAAATGCTTACTTTAATACACAGGCTAGGGAGACTTGTTAAATTTTTCTGCTTCTACAGACTGCAGCATGAACTGTGTAAACTTAGGTAAATGTGAAACTTAAGTTTTCTAGGGATAAAGTAGGGTTCGAAGAGGGTTCTGCTATCCAGCCTTGCTTTGAATTTACTATCTGAACATGCTGGCCTTGAATTGCTGATCCTTTTACCTCAATTTTCCAAGTGTTGGGAGCACAAGAGTGCTGGATTACAAACATATGCCACCACACCCAGCTTAGGTTTAAGATCTTAAAAGGACGTGAGCGGGCTGGGGAGCGGCTCAGTGGTAGAGTGTCTGCCGAGCATACAGAAGAACTGGAGTTGTGTAGAACATAAACAAAGTGACTAATAAGGACCCGGAAATTTCTACTTGTGCCATTTGTTCTTACAGAGACTAAATACACTAAATCTTGTTGGATAGCATCACATAACGCAAAATCAGTTTTCTAATAAAGCCCTTTGCTGAGAAGGTACAAACTAATTTTGGCGCATATCCCTGATAAATATTTAAAAATGGATCAAGGGATGACACCACACAATCACCTCTTTATTGTATCTACAGCTTGCTTTAAAAACACTACGCAAGGCCTGGAGATGCATTCAGTTGGAAGATTAGTTATACAGCATACATGAAACCTTTGGTTCAGTCTGCATTACTGCATAAACACAACACAGTAGCACATACCTACATCCCAGTTCTTGGGGATTAATATAGGAGGGTCAGCAGTTCAACCATTATTGGTTACATAGCAAGTACGAGGCACCAGTGTGAGCTAAGTAAGACCTGTTTAAAAAAAAACATGGTGGAGCAGAAGGAGGTGGATGTCTGTGAATCTGAAGCCAGCCTGGTCTATATAGTAAGTTCCAAACAAGTCAAGACAGTCTCTGGCTCCCAAATAAAACGAAACGACCTAGGGCTTGGGAAGCAGCTGAGTGATACAATGATTGCCTAGCATTCATAGGGCCTTGGGTTCAACCCCCAGTACCTCTAATCAAAACAACACACATAGTATACAATGTGAGTGTAACAGCACATACCTGTATTACCAACACATGGAAGGCAAAGTGGAAAGATCTCTTTTTGAGACCACCCTGGGAGACAGGTTATCTCTCAAATCCAAACAATCCCCCATACTCTCTAGACATGATCTTGCTCAAGGTTAGTACTATAGTCACATGACATGACTTCCACAATGCCCCTTCAGCAACAGGACCTGAAGGATCAGCAAAGAAGGCACAGAATAATTCCTAGGATATCACGAGCTCCATGTGCTTTGTCTTCTGTGTGAACAGCAAAGATGAACCAACGATCTAAGAACAGGGAGAGGAATTTGCCACCAGCTAAAATATTTTCAATAAGAAGAAATCATCCAGAAAGAGGATTTGCTTTGTAGAGGCTGAGGAATTTGCGAAGTCAGAGTTCGAACTCCACAGAAATGCTATCTATATTCAACAGGAAAGAACAGGACTCACATGAAAATGTTATTTGTGGGGTTGGGGTTACAGCTCAGGAGCATAGCATTTGTCTATTATTATGAGGCCCTGGTGTAGATTCCCAGCAAATCTGTCTCCCAGTCCCTCCCCACAGAAAGACAGAGACACAGACAGACAGACAGACAGACACACACACACACAGAGTTATTCTGAGGAAACTGAAAAGAAGCACAGAAATGAATTCCATGAAATCTACTTAAGACCAACATGTTTTCAAGAGTTTTCTATCAGCAAAACCCTGCCAGCCCACACTGACAGGGAGAGACTGAAAAGGAAAGGAGGATGCTCAAGCCCCAGAATTCTACTGCCAACTAGCAGGCGCCTGAAACTACGAAGGGAAGCTGCAAAGTAATTCTATCTTCTGAGAAGAGACATGTGCCAGAGTGAAATCAAGAGCTCTGAGGGATGGGATGGCAAGATGGCTCAGGGGGTGCAGGCGGTTGCCCCCAAGTTTGATGATTTAAGTATAATCTACAGAACCTATGTAGTGGCCACAGTTAACTGACTGAGACACATGGGGAATTATTTCTAGGCCCCGGGTCCTGAGGAAGGAACTGCTACTATCTTTCCTGGAAAAGGAAGGCGTGGAAAAAGGAGCCCAGAAGGCAAAACCAACAGTTCAGAGGGGAGAGCTGAGAGCCACAAGGAGCAGTTCTCAGGCCTGGGCCATAATCAAAGAACTAGAACTTGACCACCTGACTAGAGACTCCCACACCCCTGTATTGGGTACTAAACCCAGGCAGCTGGACTCAGAGCATGCTGGACAAGCACTATGACACTAAGCCATATCTTAAGGATTATTTTTACTTTTTTCCCAAGATTTTATTTTAATGTTATGTATATGGGTGTTTTGTCTGTCTGTAAATTCATCATGTGTGCAGTGAGTGCTTGGAGGCCAGAAGAGGGCATGAAATCTCTAGGAAATGGAATCACAGACAGTTGGGAGCTACCATGTGGGGTGCAAGAAATTGAACTGGAAGAGTGGCCAGTGCTCTAAGCCACTGAGCTGTCTTTCTTGCCTTTACTTTTATTCTGAGAGAGGGTTTTACTGAGTTGCCTAGGGGCTGGTCTTGAACCTGAGATCCTCTTGCCTCTCCCTCCCATGGCTGAAATTAAAGGCCTGAACCACCAGACTCAGCCTGCTTGCCCAGCTGGATTTTAAAGTTGCTCTAGGTTGGTGACTTCCAATTTTCCCTTACCAGCCCTCTCTCCTTTGAACCTGAAGTTGTAGGTTATCCCATGCTAGTTCTGCCTTGTCTATTGGGAGAGCAAGGAACAAGTAGGTAGTTCTTTAGTTTTGTAAGTCCACAAAGAAAAAATCTACATTTCACACCTGTACTTGATTAAGTCTTGAGCCTTATCTATATAAGGTTCAGGTGTGTCCAACCTTTTAACATTTCAATACAACTGCTATCTACAGAGGTCATATTTGGGAACTACACAATAAAGTTCTTTGGATCCCATAGAATTTGCAAAAAAGAAGGTCTCAACGTTTGCACTAACTTGGTGATTCTTCATTGGGCTATATTCACAGCTATCCTGCGTCGCAGATGCCCCAGGCACCACAGGCTGGACATGACTAGAGGAGGCCTCAAACTCAAGAGACCCACCTGCCCCTGTCTCCCTGAGATGAAGAGTGTGTGCCACCACTGCCTGGCTAAAGATTTATTCCATTTAAAAAAAGATTTACATTTAATTATGTGTGTTTATGTGTCAGTATTTGCACTTGAACACAGGAGCCCTTGGAGCCAAAGGTATTGGATTTCTCTGGAGTTATGAGGGGTTGTGAGTAGTCTGACACAGGTACTGGGAATTGAACTTGGATCCTTTGTTAGAGCAGTAAAGCTCTTAACTGCTGAGCCATGTTTCCAGTCCCTGGAGATGATCCTGATGATGGGATTTGGAATATCTGAGTCATTGATATTTAAGACTTTAAGATGCTTGCAAGGGAGTGACTATAAGTGTATAAGGAAAATAGTGTAAATCACAGAAGCCAGAGGACAGACTGATGTGAGAAAGAGTCAACACAAAGGCCATTATCGGTTGTTCAGATCCAAGGGAGGGTCTGCAACCAGTCTCTAGCAGCCAGGCATAAAATGGGGGCTTCATTCCTATAAACAAAGGGAATTGGTGCACCAACAACTTAGACTCTTTCCCCAGAGCCTCTAGATTAAAGAGTTAGGTCTGAATGATCTTTGATTTGGGCCTCATTAGACCTTGATCTATACAAGCCTGCTTGGTGTTCTTGTTAAGAATATTTGATTAATAGCCCTGGATGGCATTAAGCTCACTGTGTAGTCCAGGTTGCCTTTAACACATGGTCAGAACTCGTGCCTCTGCCTCAACCCCCAATGCTGACATTACACTCATGTGCTGCCCGGCCCTGCTCACCTCGGCTTTTGACTTGTAAAATGGAAGAGGTGTTTCATTTTTTTTTTTTTCTCTGAGACAGGGTTTCTCTGTGTACCCCTGGCTGTCCTGGAACTCACTGATGGGGGATATCCTTCTATATGCTGTGAATATATGTTTCTCTTATTGGCTGATGAATAAATACTTATTGGCCCATAGCAGACAGGAAGTATAGGCGGGGCTACCAGACTAGGAATGCTGGGAAGAGGAACACAGAGGGAGAGTCTTAGGGAGTAACATACAGGGGCATCACAGGGAAGCCACAGCCTTGTGGCAATACATAGTTTAAGAGAAATGGGTTGATAATTAAGAGAGAGCTAGCCAATAAAAAGCCCGAGCCTTTGGCCAAACAGTTTATAATTAATATAAGTCTCAGTGTGTTTGTTTGGGACTAAAGAGCTACAGAACCTGGCAGAACAGAAACTCCATCTTCACTTACTCTGTAGACAAGGCTGGCCTCACACTCACAGAGATCTGCCTGCCTCTGCCTCCTGAGTACTGGGATTAAAGGCATTAAAGGCATGCTCCACCACTGCTTGGTGAGGTGTTGTTTTAAAACATGAAATTAGTAATAGTTTGTTACACAGGAGTAAACTGTGCAGGTCTATGGCCTCTATACTGGAAGTGCTGCCACTTGGGCCCACCTTAAGAACAAAGCAAAGGTAGCAGAGAGGGGACCACGTGCAGTTCTGGTACAGACCCGTGCTCATGAAGCCAGTACAAGTTTTTTCATCTACAAAGAATCTGAGCCAACGGGAAGCAGCTCAGGAAAACACTTCTATGCCAGCACGTCTTTGCAGAGAGCAGGTGTATTATGAACCACAACATTGTGCTAACACCTGCAAACAAGGGACTCAGACACAGCCAAGAACACAGTCACAGCTGCTTACCTTCCTCAGGCCCGGACTGTGGACTGCTGGAATAAAGATATGCTCCTTTTCCTCCTGTTAGCAAAGTGCCCAAGAAACACTCGTCCCCCTTTAAAGACATTAGCAACAAAAAAGCTGGTGATTTACAGCATAAGAACTCACAAACTCAAAACTCATCCATTTTGTCAGTCTAAAAATGTGAATACACCAAACACATACCACATGCTTTCGGCATCATCTGGTTTGGCTTATTACCAACAGTATGAGTTTTGTTCTTTGTGACAAAGTCTCACTGTTGCCCAGCCTGGTCTGGGACTTGCAGTGATCCTCCTGCCTGGGCTTCCTGACTATAGGGACTACAGGTGTGTACTGCCTATCACACCTGGCTTCTATACCCTACCTGCGATGGTCTTGTTCCAGTGGACTGAGGTCTGTGAAAAAGAAGCCACTTCTCTTTGGTCTGACACCTTGTCTTCTCAGCTTCTGTGTAGGTCAATCTGGGATCTGCTTTTAATAGTGCTCAAGACACTTGGGGAGATAGACAGCTCCATGGTAGAGAGAGCTTGCCTAGAATGCTCAAGGTTTTGGATTTGATCCCCAGTGCTGACTTAAAAAAACGTACAGGGAGATTTTTAAAAACACTAAAAAGTCTAGGTAGAATCCCTCTCACTTTCCCCCCAAAAGTGTTTTCTTTCCCCAGAGACCTAACAGGAAGTGGAAAATGCTAATAGGAATCAAAGACAAGAATTACAAACCTTTTCTTTGCTTAGCAGTTAAGATGAGGTATTTAAAAAGAAATTGTTTTTTGAAACAGGGTTCTCTGTGTAGTGTTGTAGACCAGGCTAGCCTCAAATTCGCAGAGATCCACCTGTCTCTGTCTCGTGAGTGCTGGGACTAAAGAAATGCATGCACCACCACCTCCCCGCTTAAAAACTTTAAATTTTTTTTTTGTTTTTTTCCAGACAGGGTTTCTCTGTATTCTTTTGGAGGCTATCCTGGACTCACTCTGTAGACCAGGCTGGTCTTGAACTCACAGAGACCCATCTGCCTCTGCCTCCCGAGTGCTGGGACTAAAGAAAGGCGTGAGCCACCAGCACCCGGCTTACAATCTTTTAAATTTTTATTTATGTGTTTTATGTGTATGGGTGTTTTGCCTGCATGCGTGTTTGTGTACCATACATATGCTTGGTGCCCTTGAAGGCCAGAGAGGGCATAGGATCCTCTGGGAGTAGAATTACAGATGGTTATGAGCCACCATGTAGATGCAAGAATAGACCCTGTGTCCTCTGAAGAGCAGCAAGTGCTCTTAACTGCTGAGCCATCACTCCAGCCCCAAGGTGAAATATTTTATTATTGCAAATTGCTTATATTTATGCCATCTTACAAAAATATTTACTTTATGTGTATGAGTGCTTTGCCTGCATGCATGTATATGCACTACATGTCTTTTTGATACCCAGGGAGGCTGGAGAGGGCACGGAATCCCCTGGAACTGGAGTAATGAACAGTTATAACCCACCACGTGGGTGCTGGTTCTCTGCAAGAGCAGCAAGCAATCGTAACTGCTGAGCCATCCCTCTGTCCCCATCTCAAGCTACTAATGATGCTATCGCTGGGAACAAAAATAAATACTGCTTACCCTTGTTGCTTGCAGGGCTTTCTCAGATAATTTTATTTCATTATCTTCCACCTGTAGCCAACAGAAATGAAGAATTTTCAATTTAGTGCTTCAAGGATAGAATCCTGCTGTTTCTCCTTAGGTAGTTCCTCTCAGGCCCTGACATACTGGCAAAGATGCTGCTGGTAAGCCGTGTGTTGGTGGTGCACGCCTTTAATCCTAGCACCCAGGAGGCAGAGGCAAGCAGATCTCTGTATGTTCCAGGCCAGCCTGGTTTACACAGCGAGCTACAGGACAGCCTCTAAAACAATACAGAGAAACCCTGTCTCAAAAAACCAACCAACCAACCAACCAACCAACCAAACAAAGATGCTGCTGGTCATCAGGGTTTTCCTGCCAGGACCAGAGGCCAGCTAATGAGCTCACAAGCATGGAGAGGATGCACAATCTCCACGTGCATTCACAGTAGGGGGAAATCACTTCCCAATGAATGGAAGCACATGAAGTATTTCAGAGTGTACTATACGGCAGGGCCTCTCCATGTAGTCCTAGCTGGTGTGGAACTCGATATGTAGATCAGGTCAGCCTCAAACTCAGAGATCTGCCTGCCTCTGCTTACTGAGTTATGGGATTAAAAGTGTGCTACCATGCCTAGCTAGAGTGCATCCTATTTAAATATACATTGTTAGAGTACGACTCTGTTTTCCCCTATCTCTATCAGAGCTGCAGAAATGAATGCATTCTAAAATAGCTACTAAGATGCTGTCTTTTAAGGGCAGGCCTTCCTCAGCCCAGGCTGCTCTAAAATTCACTATGTAATGCAGTTGTGCCTCCAACCTGTACTCCCTCTGTACTTCAGCCATCAGGGCTAGGCTTACAAGTATGTACTACCATGCCTGTTCATGGTGTGTAAACTGTGTGTGTGTCTGCATGTGATCTCAAATAACTTAGATTTAATTTAATCACTGGAAGCAAACTATATAGAGAGCTTTCAATAAAGAAGAGTTATATGGCCAGGTGGTGGTGGCACATGCCTTTAATCCCAGCACTTGCGAGGCAGAAGCAGGTAGATCTCTATGAGTTCGAGGCTAGCCTGGTCTGCAGAGTGAGTTCCAGGAAAGCCAGGGCTACAGAGAAACCCTGTGCCAAACAAATAAACAAACAAAAGTTGTCTGTCTGTGCCCTCTGCAAACTGAGCTGGGACAAACTGAAACTTCTCTTCAAGCTGGTCCTTTTCTAACAGACATCTGCAGTGCTCCTGGAACACAGTTCAGGAAAAGGGAGACTGCAGGTTCTATGTGTTGAAGTCACCCAGCCAACCACTCACTCTTGGCCGGCATTTGGAGCACTGCTTTACCAGCTTGTCTCTGGTCATTGCCCTTCTTTTCGTGGCCTGAGCTGCCATCACCAAGAAATTCACGTATCCCTGCAGTACTTAAACCGTGAAATACTAGATTTCTTGCTAACATATTTTCTATGTCCCAAATACTAATCTGGGAATGGTAATTCACTGTAGCCCTAGCATTTCAAAGGGAGGCAGGAGGATCAAGGCATCCCTGGTTACAGAGTGAGACGTTTGTGGCCAGCCTGAATTACATGAGACCCGGTCTAAAACAAAACAAACAAAAACCAAACAACAACAAACCAAACTGTATTTAAGAAACAAGCCTGATCAAAGAAAATGGGACTTTTCTACACGTGGAGAGGCACTTAGAAAAACAGCACCAATCCCTCTGACAGAGAAGAAATCCACTTCTCAAGACCTGAGACCCTGGAGAGGTGACGGTGAGGAGGTGCTGGAACCCGCCCTGGCTATCGGCCTCAGCTCCAGTGTTCTCATCTAGTGAGAGTGTTAATGTCATCCTGCAGTGACTTCACAAATAACTTTGCTCTCTTTTTGGAGGTTTTGAAGACTATGGGTAGCTTCTACTCCTAAATAAAAGCTAGTTCACAATCTGACAACTCTCCAGGGACTCTGTGAAGAGGGTCCTCCTTGAGCCTCTGCCCCAGGTTTTCTGGGTTTAGGCCCACTGTGACCAGAGCATGACACTAACCAACCAGGAAGAGAATCTGGGGATGGCCTCTGTCAGGATGATGTAGCTGGTTTCTGGGGTAACAGTGCCACCTGCAGGAAAACCAAAAAACACACCAATTATGCCTAGCCACCTCAGCCCACCTTGCAGGCCTACTCTGACAGAAAGTGTCTTTTTACTTCACAGAAGCAAGGGCTCCTTTTAGCATAGTCTGGTGCCCCCCCCATACACACAAAGGGAGCTTCCTCATCTGGGGACAGAGAGACTAACATGCTGATTGTGAGTGGTTGTTGAGTATTCTTCAGAACAAAGAGAAACATGCATGCAAATGAGTAATCATGAATTAGTCCCTTTTACCTGTAATTTTTATCAAGAAGTACAGGTATTATGTATACCCATTAAAGCCACATCTACCATTACCAGGTGTTACCAAAGCTGGAAGGCAAGGGCCATCTGAACCCTTTGACACGACACTGAGCTACAGGATTTGGAGTTTGCCCTGATCTTGCTTTGGTCCAGTGCTTCCTCACTGTGCCCTGATTCCTCCCTGTTTGCAATGGTAATGTATTTCCTATGCTACTGTAACTGCCTTACTGATTTCACAGAAGCTTACAATTAAGAGACTGCCTTGAGTCTCAGAAGAGGCTTTCAACTTTGGATTTTTAAGCAGTGTTGAAACTGAAAGACTATGGGCATTTTGAATTAGACTCAATGCATTTTGATATGGCCAAAAGTATGTGGGTGCCAGGGAGCAGAATGCTGCAGTTTGAGAATAGACCCTGTGGTGTTATCTTGCTTGTACAACCCTGTCGGAAGACCAGAGGAGCTTGCCACTAGGTGGGGAGGTCTATACAGACAAACAGGAAGTGAGATGGCTGGGTGGAAACAGGAAGTGAGATGGCTGGGTGGAGAGAGGATATAAGCAAGAAGAAGCAGGAACTCTCTCTTTTCTACTGGGAAGCTAATGAGGTAAAGGTGGCTTTGGCTTGCTCCTTATCTCTAATCTCTCAGCATTTTCCTCTATACCTGAATCTGGGTTTTTATTATTTAGATCAATTAAGAACTCCATTTACACACGGTGGTGGCTCACGCCTTTAATCCCAGCACTTGGGAGGCAGAGGCAGGCGGATCTCTGTGAGTTCAAGGCCAGTCTGGACCGATAGCCTCCAAAACAATACAGAGAAACCCTGTCTCGTAAAACAAACAAACAAACAAACAAAAAACTCCATTTATAGCCCCCATATGTTTGAATACGGTCCTAGTTGGTAGACCTGTTTGGGAAGGTTTAGAAGGTGTGGTCTTGTTGGAGGGGATGTGTCACAGGGGAGGGCTTTGAGGCTTCAAAAGTCCACACCATTCCTAGAGTACTCTCTGTCTTCTGCTTCCAGCTCTCCCAGTTCCTGCTGCCATGACTGTGCTCTGTCATCATGGACTTTATCTCTCTGAAGAAGCCATATGCCCAATTAAATTCCTTCTGTAAACTGCCTTGGTCATTGTATTTTGTCATAGCAAGAGAACAGTAACTAAGACACAGCAGGGTAATTTACTGAGAAGGATGAGGCAGACTGCCCTCTCATTGGAGCACTGAGCAGGGGTTAAACTCCAAAAAATCTCCTTAAATCCTGTTTCATGATAATGACAAGTTTGAGCTTTTTTTTTTTTTTTTTTTTTGGTCTTTTGATATTTTGAGGCATGGTCTTACTACATACTCCTTACTATAAACCTATATACTTAGAACTGCTATGTAGACTAAGCTGGCTTTGAACTTGTGGTAGTAGTCCTCCAGCCTCTGCCCCCAACTGCTAGGATTACAGACATGCCCTGCACTCACCATCACAAATAAGCTAAGCTCCTATTGTAAGCATTTCTTATGTTTTACTTTCTTGTAAACAAGCAAAGCTTGCACAGGATGGGGCTATTTGGCAGTTTGGGACTGCCTGTTGCTGTCCTGGCTGCTGTGAATAGAAGGACTGCAAGTCAAAGGGCCAGCTAGATGACGCATATGCTAACTGTTCTGAACAATCCACTAATACCTTAAGAAAACTACACAACTGTAGCAGCTTATTGTTCTGGCTCCTGGAGGTGCAGCCTCAGCAAGAACTATCTCAGTTTGTACTAGACTTTGCTCTCACAAACCTTGGAAAACTCCAGACAACCCACTAACCACTTCTACTGAGGCCAAAGGTGGGGCACTCCCCCAATGGCCTTGCAGAGTGATAGTTGTGAATGGCACTGAAGAGACAATGGGGTGACCTTTGTTTACATGCAAGATATATTGTGATTGCTGCAAACCCCTCTCTGGCTATATAATATACTTCCTGAACTGGCTGGTAGATACCCTCCTCTGTATTGCAATATTAAAGTCCAATATGAGGCTTCTCTCAAATGGTCTTTTCTTGCCTACCTGTAGTGGTGCTTGCTGACCTGGTGACACGAAGAAGGAAGCAGTCGAGACTTAAGAGTGACAATGACAGCAGAGGCAGCAAAGTAGCAGCAATACTGCACCATTCATAGGCCATGCCACAAAAACAGCAACGTTGCTAGCTGCCTTACAATGAAGAGGCAGATGAACAGTTTGACAGTAAATGAGTTTAAACAAGAAGGATGGCAGAATTAGGGAGAGGGCGGATAGCTGGGGCTAAAGGATAAAAGACCATAAAGATCAGCTAAGATAAACTGCAGGTCATGATATTTGGAAAAGTTCCAGAGAGCTGGCAAGCTTTTAAGGCTAAAAGCCCCAGACACTCCAGGCCTGGGGGCTGGGACAATGGCAATTGTCAACAGCAGAGGAATTCTGACACTTCAGCCCATCACATACTATACCAGCTGCTGCTAGGGGCTAAAAAGTCCCAATTTTCTAAGTCTATATAGGAGATGACACTTGTAAAGTGCAGGGTCCTAGCTTCCTAGCTGTATAAAAGAGGTGCTCAGCCGGGCGTTGGTGGTGCACGCCTTTAATCCCAGCACTTGGGAGGCAGAGGCAGGTGGATCTCTGTGAGTTCGAGACCAGCCTGGTCTACAAAGTGAGCTCCAGGACAGCCTCCAAAGCCACAGAGAAACCCTGTCTCAAAAAAAACCAAAAAAAAAAAAAAAAAAAAAAGAGGTGCTCACCCCTGGAGAATTGGGAGTTCTGCTGCCCAAGGCCTGTAATGAGGGTTCTAACACTAGAGGGGCCCTTGCTGCTGCTACTGCTGCTAAACACTGAAATTCACAAATGTTGCCAAAGCACTTAATGGATTTCTTATACACTCACGATTTCTGTTAAAGCAGAACAAAGGACCACAGATGGTTAACTGGAGATAGTGCCAGCACCACACTACCATTCTTTGCAGTTTCCTCTTTTGGCCAGCATAGGGAATAATGAGTATCCAATTTTTACTTTATAGATTGTTTCCTCTTGACCTTTATTGAGGTTGCATATCTTCATATACATAAACCCATCTGCCTTGACTTTTGTTTTCTACTTTGTGAATAGCTTGTTTGTATTTTTTCCCATGTAACTACTGAGTAGCATATTTTTCTTATTAATTTATAAGTACTATTCACTAATTAGAATACATACCATTTGCTTACTGTAAGTAGTTTAACATATTAATCAGTTTATGTAATCTTTGGCTTAATTTACGATTTTATAATTTTTTTTCAAGGCTCACTTTCTACACATCACACACACTTACCCTTTTCTCTAACCAGGATCTGAGACGTCAAAAATGACTCTGAGAAGACCACAGATCCTAAACATCCTCCTCCTCCTCCTCCCAGCAGGTCAGGAATGTCATAGACGGTCATACAAGCCTGTGTCAATGAGAAGAAGGTCCAGAGCCATTACCAGCCTAGCATTTCAAGAGGAGATCCACAAGAAACATACTGCTGTAAGGCACATGGCAAAAGAACACTAACAAATCTCTAAGGATTTATGCTGAAATACATGTTGAACTGAGAAATGCCTTCAGGCTTTCCAACAGGTGATCCTTTACTTGAGAAACACAAGGCAGGAAGGACAGTACCTTTATATTCTTAAGAATCCCCTCAAATTGTCATCTTCCTAAGCAGCAGCAGTCTTCTTCTTTCCCTTTTTAAACTTAAAAATGTTGTGTGTGTGTGTGTGTGTACAGGTACCTACAGAAGCCGGAAGAGGGTGTTGCACCCCCAGAGCTGCAGTTAAAGCATTATGAGACACCCCACATGAGGGCTGTGAACTGAGTCTGGGTCCTCTGCTGGGAATTGAACTTAGGTCCTCTGGAAGAGCAGACAGTGAGCGCTCTTAACCTCTGAGCCATTTCTTCATTCTTGATAATGACTGGTGACAGCCTATAGAATCAGAGCTGTTTCCTCAGGCTTTTGAGGAAACGTCAATCCTTTGGCTTGGGCTTCAGTTCTCTCTCAGTGAGGCAGGAAAGGTGCTGGGAAAGGTGTTCATTAAGCTGGTATACATGCCTGTATTTATGAGTGCACAGTAACACACAGCTGCAAATGATCATCCCAGCACAGCAAAGCATCCTGCTCTCTTAGCCATGACTGTGCTCACTGTGACTTCAGCTACTCAGGGCCCATAGTGGCAGAAGAGTATTAAATGGTCAACTCCAGAGATAAGCAAGGGTTTTAAACTACATTCCATTCTGGACACAATGGTTACATTTTATGCCTATGATATGAATCATCCCTTTGTCCACAGCACTCTAGTGCATATACTAATCTGTTTAGTCTACAGCCTTCTGAGTTATCAGACTGACTTGTCATAGTGTTTTTTTGGTTTTGGAAGAGTTAAAAATATTTTAACAGAGTTAAGCATGAGGGTTAAAAGGGAAAGAGAGGCACTCTGAAAGAAAAGTCAGACACACAGACAGGTCTCTGTGAGTTTAAGGCCAGCCTGGTCTACTTAGTAAGTTTTAGGCAACCAGAAGTGGATATAGGCTTCTCAAGAGTTGCCATTTCTAATTTATTTAAAAATTGGTCCTGTGCTGGTCTTGATGGTACATGACTTTAATCACAGCACTGGGGAGTCAAAGACATGAGGAACTCCACGAGTTCAAGGCCAGCCTGATCTACAGAGCTAGTTCCTCACTATGTCCTGATTCCTCCCTTTGAGAATAATAATGTATATTCTGTGCCATTATATGTTAAAAGTATGGGTGGTGATTTGGAAGAAAATGGCTCCCAAAGGGTGTGGCACTATTGGGAGGTATGACTTTGTGAGGTAGTGTGTCACTGTGGAGGCAGGCTTTGAGGTTTCATATATGCTGAAGATACTGTCCAGTGTCTTAGACCACTTCTTGTTGCCTGTAAGGCAAGATGTAGCAGACTCCACTAATTCTCCAAAACCATGTCTGCCTGCACACTGCTATGTCCCAACATGATGGTGATGATGCACTAAACCTCTGAAAATGTAAGTCACCCCAATTTAAGTTTCTCCTTTATAGGAGTTGCCGTGGTGATGGGTCTCTTCACAGCAATAAGAACTAACTAAGACACTATGTAATTTGCTTTATTTGACAGGAGGTCAATGAAGAGATTACCTTGAATCTCAGAAGAGACTCTGGACTTTTAAATATTCTTGAGATTGAAAGGCTATGGGGATTTTTGAAGCCAAACTAAATTTGCATTATGATATGGTTATGAGGCAATGGGGACCACAGAAGGGAATGTGGTGGTTTGAATGACATGTCCCCCATAATCCTGGACGCTTGAATACTTGGTCCCCAGTTGGTGATTGTTTGGAGAGGATTAGGAGGTGTGGCCTTGTTGGAAAATGTCACTGGGGGTAGACTTTGAATTTTGAAAGACTTGTGCCATTTCCAGTTAGCTCTCTCTGGTTTCTGTGTGTGGATTGAGATGTGAGCTCTCAGCTGCTCTTCCAACGCCATGCCTGCCTACCTTGCTGCCATGCTCCTCACCATGATGCTGGGGGACTCTTATTCCTGCAAACTCTTCCTTGTATAAGTAGTCTCGGCCATAGTAATTTACCACAGTGATAGAAACCCTAACTAAGATGCTCACTAAAGTGTACCTTTGGTTTTTTTGGCTAGGGTGTCTGGTCAGAGAGCTCTTGAGATCTACCTGTCTTCATGCTCCCAATGCTGGAGTTACAGGTACAGGAAGCCATGTCTGGCTTTTTACGCAGGTGTTGGGGATTCCAATTCAGGGCCTCATGCTTGCAGAGCCATCATCTTCCCAGCACCTCTTTTATGTGCGGATTCTTTAACCATATACCTCCCTTTTTTACCTTTCTGTCTTCCTTCCCCGTTCCTCCTTCACTTCACTACTTTATTAGTATTGATACCATTAAATGTTAGTTTCCATCGCAGCAGCAGCCTGCCTCTGCTGCCAAAGCAGTTACATCATCACCTGCGGACAGGAGCCTTTCTACCATCAGTATATGACATGTAAAGTGCCCGCCAGGCACCACTCACTCTCTCTCATCTCTTTCACATTATGCCTCTCTTTGCCATTTCTTTTTGTTTGTTTGTTTGTTTTGTTTTTTCAAGACAGAGTTTCTCTGTATTGTTTTGGAGGCTGTCCCGGAATTCGCTCTGTAGACCAGGCTGGCCTCGAACTCACAGACATCCGCCTGCCTCGGCCTCCCAAGTGCTGGGATTAAAGGCGTGTACCACCAATGTCCGGCTCTTTGCCGTTTCTTAACCTCTCTTTCCTCTTCTTCCTCTGTCTGTCTGTCTGTCTGTCTGCCTGCTTCTCATGTCCCCACTCCGACATGGCCTTTCACTGTTTCACCCTCTCCCTTCCCCCTCCCCCAACGAACCTTTTGCACTAATTCCGTTATTGTGTGGCGTGTTTGCTTAGTGGCACACCTTGGCAGGACCCAACGAAAGGTACTCACTTCACCTCATCTTTTATTTATCATTTCAATATATGTAATAATTTCTCCACCCAGTACCCTAGTATTCTACTCTCCAAACCTTATAGGGGACATGTGGTGATCTCAAAGAAAATGGTTCCCAAAGGGACTGGCACTATTAGGACGTGTGCCTTTAAAGTAGGTATGGCCTTGTTGAGGAAGAGTGTCACTTTGGGGGTGGGCTCAATCTATTCCCAGTGTGGGACATAGTTCACTTTCTGCTGCCTGCAAATCAAGACGTAAGAACTCTCAGTTCCTTCCCTAGCACCATGTCTGCCTGCATGCTGCCTTTGCTTCCTGCCATGAAGATAATGGACTGAATCTCTGAAAATGTAAGCCACCCCAATTAAACGTTCTTCCTTTATAAGAGTTGCCAGGTCATGGTGTCTCTTCACAGCTATTGAAACCCTAAGACAGCCATTGGTACCAGGGACTGGGGTACTGCTGTGATAGTCCTGAATATATTTTTGTCTGAAGGAATATGAACCTTGGAATTGACTATAGATTAAAGAAGCAGCTGAATGCTTTAAGTGCTGCTTAATGGGCCATTCCAGTAGGAACAGAAAAGACAGTGGTGCTGAGTGTGATCTGAACTGTGGGTGCCTGGATCAACAGGTGTCAGAGGAGAATTTTAGTATGTTGCTTTGTCAGGGTCCACAAGAATACGAAGTATATGACAGCTGATATTCATAAGGTTGGCCCACCAGATGAACAGCTATCTGATGGAGGAACCTCCTAAGTAAGGCTTATGAGACCATTGCCTATGAATAACGGACTGCTTCTGTGTGTAATTCTCTTGTGTGCTACCATAATTCCCCCCCTAAAATGGCCATCAGATTCTTCCCACAACTGTTGGCAGTGTGCTCCTCATTTACTGGGCACTGTTATCCCTGAGAATTGACAGAAGGATGACTTCTTCCTGTACTGTGTATTTCTGGTGAATAAAATATGCCTTTATAGTTAAGCTTTTGTTAAAAAAATGGTGATCGACTTAGAAGCCTGTTTTCTGTTATCAGCTAGCTAACAAGGCAATTAACTAGTGTCTCTGTGAATGGATCATAAATTTAGCTTTCACAGATATACACATGGACAGTATTGCAGGTGTCTGGTTTGTTGAATCAAAGTCTTTTAGACACAAAAGTGAACTGAATTGCCATGCCAGCTTCTTTTGCTAGATCTAGATGATAATGGGGACTAGCAGCACTCCCTGCTCAGACCCTTTAGCAAATAACACTTTGTATGAACCTCTAACCTCAGTTTATGGCACAAGATTTTAGGCTCAGCTAACTGTTTAAGTTCTAAAAATTATGTGGGTACCAGGAAAAAGCAATTAACCAAGTTCGGAGGCAAACAGGCTTATGCTCAGATAACCTTGGGAAAGGCTTCACAAATGGCCAGGACTGCAGAGGATGGTGTGGCCTCACAACCTTGAATAAAGTTACAAGCTTCCCTCCTGATAAGACACAAGTCTTAGAAAGACATAATAATGAAAACAAGAAAAATACTCAGACACAGACAGAGGAATTTAGATGACATTGACCAGGTTGACCTCGAACTCCCAGAGATCCAGTTGTTTCTGTCTCCTGATAATTGGGATTAATGGTGTCCACCATCACACCTGACAGCATTTCCTATACATAGTTTAGACTTTTTCAAAGGGACCACACAGACTATGAAACATTCATTATTTACAACTTAAAAAACTATTCTTATAGTGTTAAGAACTTGGAAGTGCTTTTCTACTGGGGATGGGGATACATTTTTATTATTATTTTGGGGGGAGAGAGGATGCATTTGTAACGTAACAAGTCATCTATAGTTACTCCACTCAGCTGCATATGACCACAGCTTTCTGGAATTAAGAAAGTACACATATATACTGCAACCAGAATTTTGATTTTAATCTACCATCTTTTCTTGTTCTGTCTGACAATACTCTTTATGTCAGGGTTGCTCTAGAGTAAATGGAGCCCTTGGCTTGTGGCTGAAAATAGCCTACAAATTCTGACTTCTTCAGGCCATGCTACTTTACATCAGTGACCAATATTTCAATATGTATCTATTTTTATTTTATTTATTTTTGCTTTGTTTTTTGAGGCACAGTTTCACTATGTACTCCTAGCTGGTCTGGAACTCTCTATGTAAATCAGGCTGGCCTCAAACTCACAGAGATCTGCATGCTTTTTGCCCTTGGAGTGCTGGAATTAGAGGAGTAAACTACTATGCCTGGCTCAGTTTATTTTTAAATCATTCCATTGCCCCAGCAGAGGATATGGAAAACTCTGCTCTGACTACCTGACTTCACGAGACACACAGGTATCTGTGCACTGTTGTGTAATTCCCCTGGTTCCTGTGAAGGCAGTCAGTGCAGATCTTACAGTGAAAAGAAGTCCTTGAAAGGCTGAAGAGATGGCTCAGCAGTTAGGATATGCTCTTCCAGAAAGTCTGAGTTCAGTTCCCAGCACCAACACTGGACAGCTCCCCACTGCTTGTAACTCCAGCTCCAGAGGATCTGATGCTCTCTACTGGATACCAGCACACATGGGGCGTACACACAAATAAAAATGAAGTCTTAAAGGAAAAAAAGGAAACTTGAAAACTTGTTTGTTGTGCTCAGTTCACATTTCTATACAAGGTCATCACAATCTCAGCTGCCTGTAGCATGTCTCAGTCATCTACTTTCAACAAATCCTTTGCAAATGACTCGCTATAGCCACCACAGCCTGCTAACTGCTTACCGTTTTCACAAAGGATAAGCTATCTTCATTATCCAGAGGCACAATTCTAGAAGAGAGAGACAGTAGAGAAATACATTACAAGATTATGGCTTCTGTTTGTTTTAATACAGGGCCTCATAAAATCCAGGCTGGCTTCAAACTAACTATGCAGCTGAGGAACAGAGGCAGGAACACAGAAATTTAAGGCTAGCCTGGGCAATAAAAGACCTCTCTCAACAAAGAACAAAACAACAAACATTGGGTTCATGTGTATAGAATTAGCACTGGAAAAAATAATGTCAGTACCTGACCCCAGCCTCTTAACTTCCCATGAGACAGGGACTCAGACAAGAGCAGCAAGTGTGGGTCCAAGTCTGGAATGGCACCTCTCCCAGAGTGTAATGTGATGAGGGCAATAATGGTAGCAGCTATAAGGTCTCTCTATCAAATACAGTCTTATATAACCCAAGCTGGCATTATACATTCCAGGTATTGGAGGATGACCATGAACTTATGACATTGTTGCCCTTCATGAGTCATCTCATTGGCCCTCAGGTCTCAAACTCTTGATCCTCCTGCCTCTGCCTCCTGAGTGTTGAGATTCCAGGCATGTACCACAACTGAATAGCCTCTCCTCTTTGTCCTTACACTTCACCATGAAAGGAGTCACCATAATTGCACCTACCTTCCCTGGTTAGTCACAGCATGTATATGAAAAGCCACCTTGGAGCTGTAGACCAGAAAGCAAACAAAACACAAGTCAAGACTCTTGTTCAACACTGGGCCAGAGTCCTCTGAAATACTTGCTTCCTCAGTGTATCTGCTTTGGACTGTCAAAGCCACTCGATCAACTGTTGTTGTTTTATAGACAGGGTCTTACTATGCAGTTCTAACTGTACTGGAACTCACTATGTAGACCAGGCTGGCCTCAAACTTATAGAGATCCTTCTGCCTCTGCCTCCCAAGTGCTGGGATTAAAGGTCTGCCCCACTACAGCTGGAGTGTTATCCCTACTTAGTTATTTCAGATGCCTTTCTCAAGGTCCCATAACATCACTAGGTGTGGAGCCACGACCCTGCATCTGCGCTGGTTCTCAAAGCTGCCTTAACTCTTGGCTGTGAGCAGGCACAATACACACTGCAAACTAACTGGGAATGGCCCTCTCCTGGCCTAGGCTCCCCAGTGTCTACAGACTACTCCGATTCTCCTCCTTTCCAGTACTTTTGGGTCAACTTGCCAGCCCTGCTCTGTTCCCAAGCAGAAGGTGCTTTTGCTATTTAAAGTCTACTGTTGCGAGCCCACAGCAGGGTCAAGCCTTCAGAACTGAAGGACAACGTTCCAACTTTCCCTCTGGGAGACAAAAGTCTTTCTGAGACAGTCTCACTGTGTATCCTTGACTGCCTAGAAACTGCTCTGTAGATCAGTCTGGCCTCAAACCTGCAGTGATGCTCCTCCCTCTGCCTCCTGAGCACTGAGATTACTGACATGTGCCACCAAGCCCAGCCTTGGCTAACATCTATTTTATATATGTATATGTGTGTATGTGTGCATACCACCTAGCACATGTGAAGGTCAGAGGACAACTTGCAGGAGTTAGTTCTCTCCACTCACCATGTGGGTTCTGGGAATTGAATTCAGGTCACCAGGCTTGGCTTACCTGGTAAGCATCTTACCAGCCTAAGAAGGTTGTAAAATTGCATGTGTTTATACAAGCTTAATTTCATACAAGAACTAGTCAATAACACCTGGGCTACCTGTGTCTATGATTGTTCCTTTTTTCTTCCCATTCTAGGGGAAGACATGCTAATGTGATGAACTTAGGGACCTCAGTGAAGTGATCCTGATGGAGGGAAGGAGTTATGATTTCAGATTGAAGACTAGCCCGGGAAACTGACTTTCTGCTCAGTCATTTCTCCTTCTGCCTTCTTCCAGCTAGGATGGTTCATTTAGGCCCAAGAAACGCTACAGGTAACACAGGCAAGAGCTGGAGGAACACAGTGACTGTGTCAGCCTTGTGCGACAAGTAAGGCCTCACTACCACAGCAATTAAGATCTACTTGTCCAATCACTCTACAAAGTGAGTGTTTCGCCGGGCGGTGGTGGCACACGCCTTTAATTCCAGCACTCGGGAGGCAGAGGCAGGCGGCAGGCGGATCTCTGTGAGTTCGAGGCTGGGCTGGACCGATAGCCTCCAAAACAATACAGAGAAACCCTGTCTCGAAAAACAAAACAAAACAAACAAACAAAAAACAAAAAACAAAGTGAGTGTTCCAGAAACAGACGTGGAAGGTTCCCTATCTCACTTAAATCAGCACAGCAGGAAGTAAAGGAACTCTCAACCAAGGTCTTAAGGATAGATGGTACAGGGCAGCACAGCAGGAGGACCTCTGGGAAAGGAGACCTACAACAAGATGAAGGCCTTTGCGCCTCAGAGATCCTGCTCTTCCCTCCACTCCTGAGCTGCAGCGATGGAACAGAGTTCTTCTCTTATGTCAACCAACTAACCTACCTACCAAATGCTCTCAGGGTCGCGGATGTTAAAAAAAAAAAAGGTGGGGCATGAACTAACAGGTAGTATGGCAGGGCACACCCAGAAGTATTTTTTGTTTTTTAAAGATAGAGCGTCTTACTATTATATAGCTCTGGCTGTCCTGGTACTTGCCAAATGGATCAGGCTGGCTCAAACTCACAGAGATCTACCTGCCTCTGTCTCTGAAGTGCTGGGATTAAAAGTGTGTGCTACCATGCCTGGTTAGAAGTATTTTTAAATAAACTTTCTAGTACTGGTTTTTCATATCCTTTGTATAAAACTGCGTGCGCGTGCATACACACACACACACACACACACACACACACACACAATTGTCCTCTTGTGGGATGGAGGTGGAGTGGGCTGCATTCAAGAAATTGAGCTATGGATAAAGACAGCACAGAGCTGTACCAGGACATGCTGGGAGATGTGATAGGAGCACTAGGAGCCAGGCTCCTGACCACCTGAAAGGCAGGTAAGCTCTAGAGCAAGTCTGTCTGTCTGTCTGTCTGTCTCTGTCTCTGTCTCTCTGTTTTTTGAAACAGGGTTTCTCTGTGGCTTTGGAGGCTGTCCTGGAGCTTGCTCCGTAGAGCAAGCTGGTCTCAAACTCACAGAGATCCCCCTGCCTCTGCCTCCCGAGTGCTGGGATTAAAGGCATGCAACACCAACGCCCGGCTTAGAGCAGGTCTCTTAATTAGTGATTATCTTCATGTACCAAGTCTCCTGCCCCTCACAGCTCTACCTTTGAGGTTCCCCTGCTTTACCTCCTTATCTCTGGGACCAGGCCCATCAGGACTCCCACAGTTCTAGTATAAAGCTGCCTCACATTCTAGCTTCAAAACCTATGTGTGACTCTTCCTGATAGTCTCCTCCATCCTGATCACGAGTGATTCTCTCCATCCTATTATTTTACTGGAATATTTCTCAAAAGGAGAGAAGGGTAAAATACAAATTATAAGGGACAAGGGGGTCTTTAATTTTTTCTTAATTCTCATAAAAAAATACCAACTATAGCTTACCGTAGATCGGCTTTGAATGGAACCAACTCAGGGAACACTAGCCCAGATTCCAGAGTGTGCTCTGCTACCTCCTTGGCCTGTAAAAGCAGCAATAAAACAGTTAGTTCCCAAGCAGCAAAAGTATATATACATATATCACTGACAGGAAAGGCCCTTCTAAAAGGTGGCCGGTGCCCTTCCCTTCTATGTGACTACTTTGTATACCTCCAACGCTTAAAGTGAAAGCATCAGGTTATGGGGACAGGCGCCTGCTGGACTCACAGGAAACTGTACTTGGGCAGGGGCGCACTGGCATCTGATCTGCTGGAGAGATGGAAGCAGCCAGTTAGGCAGCTGGAGTGCTGCTACGTGAGCACTAGAAACATGCTGTCGTGTCCCCTCTTCCCTGGCTCTGGGGAGGGACTAATGCCCTCAGTTTCTGCTAGACATTAAGACTATTTCAATAACTCAAGCTATAGACGATTAGTTAGGGAAAAAAAGATGTGAGAATGTATACTAAAGGACACCCCATGGCTTTGCACAGGCTTTCTACTCTGTAGCAGCTAAAAAAGGTAAGAAAACACACATCATCACCAGGATTCAAGTTCAGTAGGAAGGGGAATGGACGCCAAGGAGCTGGAGACTACAGCTACAGTCCCTCTGATATCTACATCATACACAACCTTTCCACTGTCAACTGGCTTCCTTCAGGAAAAGTCCTACTGGCTTTGGAAGGCATCAAGCCGTCTCTTCTCATCTTACTGGGTCAGATTTAGGTATCCAACTCAGCAGGGCAGGTTAACCACAAACAGCAAGGAAGAAAATGGTCAGAAAGCGAGTATATGCAGGCTTGCCTAGGAAAGGTAAGTCAGATTCTTTAGCCTGAATTGAGTTTTAAACACTCAATCACAGGAAACAACTACATAGCTCAAAATAAGCTTTACTACTTCATTAAAATGCAATGTAATAATCTGTTTTACTTTGGCGTCTCAACGTGTCCTGTCTAAACATTAACCAAAGAATGACTTTAACACAAACAGGTGTTTATAAAGGCTCATAAAATAACAGCAGCATGCCCACAGGCAGCAGCAGCTCAAGTATGCTGGCTTGGCTACCAATGTCCTAACTCACATAAAAGTGAGTACTGCAAGGTATCCAAAGAACAAAATGGTTAGGATGATTTACAATATAATGATTACCAAAAGAGAAATACGGTATTTAAATTACCTTTGCCAGACTGCAAGTTTTAGCATAGCATGCAATGCCAGCCAAAACAGCCTCAATAACAGCAGCATATATCTGGGATAAGAGCCTACTTTAAAAACAAAAAAATAATGGTTAATATAGTATCACATAGTCTCACAAAAAACTGCATGCCTGGGGCAGAATAGATGACTCAGTGGTTAAAGAGCACTGGCTGATCTTCCAAGAGGACTAGGGTTCAATTCCCAGCACCCTCACGGTAGCTCACAACTGTCTGTAACTCAGTTCCAGGGGATCTGATGTCATTTTCTGGCCTCCACAGGCACTGCATACACATGGTACACAACATACAAGCAGACAAAACATTTCTTCACATAAATGTAAAAATATTCTCTCTCTCCTCTCTCTCTCTTTCTCCCTCCCTCCCTCCCTCTCTCTCTGGTTTTTCAAGACAGGGTTTTTCTGTATTGCTTTGGAGGCTGGCCTCGAACTCACAGAGATCTATCTGCCTCTGCCTCCCGATTAAAGGCGTGCACTACCAATGCCCGGCCCAAAAATATTCTTTAAGGAAAGTTCTAGGTCCATAAATGGTGATCCATAAGGATCTTATAAAAAGATGGGGTCCTGTGTGTAAGGTAGGCTAGCCTCAAACTATCTTCTCGCCTTCCAAACTGCTGGTATTACAGGCATAAAGCACCAGGCCTAACTCTAACCCTCCCAAGAAATCAACTTTTAATAATGGTTTTAAATAAACCAAGGCTGGGGGCTGGAGATGACTCAGAGGTTAAGAGCACTGACTGCTTTTCCAGAGGTCCCGAGTTCAATTCCCAGCACCCATATGGTGGCTCACAGCCATCTACAATGAGATGTTGTGCCCTCTGCTGGTGTGCAGGCATAAATAGAAGCAAAATGCTATATATATAATGAATAAATAAATCTTAAAAAAAAACCAAGTTCCATTGAATTTTAATTCATGTCAAAAGAAACTCAACGTTAACTCATAGCTCTGGTTTAGCTCACAAACTGTGGGTGCTGGGAATTGCTTGGCAAGGAACTGATAAGAATTCACAGAGAATACATGTATTGAAATCTGTGAGACTCTTCTAATGGGTTAAGGGTGATAAGAGCTTGACATTTGGGTTAATCCAGCAAGTAATGTCTCACAAAGTAGAATAGGTTGTCTAAGGTCACAGAAACTCCCAGTAAACTTGAACTCAGCTTGGTGCCACACCACACTGTCATCTCCTTCAGCTCCTTACCTCCTGTCTCACACCTCCACTTTACAGGTCACAATTCAGAGTTAAAGAAGAAAATAGAACAAAAAAGTTCAAATAACAAAATGACAAGCCAGGATTGGTGGTGGATGCCTTTAATCCCAGCACTGTGGAGGCAGAGGCAGGCATGTCTCTAAGTTTGAGATCAGCCTTGTCTACATAGTGAGTTCCAGGCCAGCCATGGCTACATAGTAAGATTCTGTAAGATATGCTGAAGAGACAAAGGCTCTAGGAGAACCAGCATAGACAACATATTTTTGGGATAGAAAGATTGATGAGTGGTTAAGAACGTCTACAGGTTTTGCAGAGAACCTAGATTGAATTCCCAGCACTAATGTGAGGCAGCTCATAACCTCCAAGGGTTCCAACACATGCTTCTGGCTTCCTTAAGCACTGAACTCATATACACTCATACACGTAATTAAAATGAGAAAAAAAATGGCAACTCCACATATCCACATTCAGCACTTCCTGGCTGTTAGTCAGGCTATAATGGTAGGAAGAGGCCTGGCAGGTATACTAACAATGAGTTTGTCCACTTCTGGGTAAGACTAGAAAGATTTCTCCACACCATGACACTTGAGTGCATGATTTATGCTTTTTGTTGTTACTGTTTTGTTTCTTAGGCCTAAGCCAGCCCTGAAGTTGTTTTGTAGCCAGGAATGATCTTGAACCATCTGGATGCTCCTTGAATGCAAATATGAAGATATAGATGTGTACCACCAAACTGGATGGGGTAAAGTTATATAAAGACTAAACTTCAAGATATACAAAGATACCTGCCTCACTGCCTTGGTTCAAATATCACCCAATCTAACACTGGCTAAGTACTCTGATAGGGGATGTCCTTCTGTATATATGTTTCTCTTATTGGTTGATGAATAAAACACTGTCTGGCCAAAGAGGCAGGAAGACAGGAGGGACTAGGATGAGGATTCTGGGAAAGGTAGGTGGAGAGAGCCCACCAAACACAGTCGCATGTAGACCACAAAGGAGTAAGATAAGACCACATGGAAATACTTAGATTAATAGAAATGGGCCAATAATTAAGACAGAGCTAGCCAATAAGAAGCCCTAGTCATTGGCCAACAATTTAATAATTGATATAAATTGTTTTGTGTTCATTTGGGGCTGAAGCGGCAGCAGGGCCTAGGTGGGGTAAGAGAAACCTCTGCAACAGTACTCCTTGATTCAAATACCATTCAATATAATTCTAGCTATTCAGCTTTACTTGGCCTGCCTTATACAGAACTTTAGACAAAACCTCAATACAGAATTTGGTCAGTGTAGTGTTAGTGTCACCTTTACCAGGGTTCCATAAGGTCCAGGTCCCCACTAGCACAGTGATTTGGAATATCTGACATGGCCCTAAGTACTCCTTAATATTAACCCTGGATGCAAGTCACCAATGGATTTGGTCTAGGCAAATATCAAATGGTTCAAAATGAGAATCCTAGACAGCGGCTAAGCACAGAGGGCATGGAAATGGAAAAAAAGGTCAACTTGCTACTGAAGTGAATAAAATGTATAAAAAAGAAAAACCTGATAAACCTGATATATACATTATGGTTAAAGTAACATATAATCCAAAAACACAATCTTTTGGCCCCCAAAGTCTAATTATGTGTGTAGGTACCCCAGAGGCCAGAAGGCAGCACCAGATCTCCTAGATCTAGAGCTACAGATGGTTGTGATTAAATGGTGTTGTCATCTTGTCCTGACTATCTTGTGTCTGCCTAGACATTCTTCACCCTTCCATCCCCTCCATAGCCACATCTGCCTTGGCAACACTTTTGGGACTGACCATGGCCCTGACCATGGTCCAGAAGTATTAACCAGAATAACTGACATTTGTACAGGCTAAAACATAAACTAAAATAACTAACAGGAAGTGTAAATCAGAAATCATTGTCACATGGTGTCTGAAAGATACTGCTAAGCTTGCAGAAAGATGTTGCTTTGATCTCGCCAAAACACTAATGTAATTGTGGGGTTTGCTTTTAAAAATACTGTACCCTGGGCTAGCGAGAGGGCTCAGTAGTTAAGAGCACTGATTACTCTTCCAGAGGTTCTGACTTCAATTCCCAGCACCCACATGACAGCTCACAACAATCTATGATAGGATCTGGGAGCTAGAGAAACGGCTCAGCAGTTAAGAACACTGGCTGTTCTTCCTGGTGACCCAGGTTTAATTCCCAGCACCCACATGGCAGCTCACACCTTTCTGTAACTCCAAGACCTGACACCCTCACACAGACATACATGCATGCAAAATACCAATGCAAATGAAATAAAAATAAATTATAAAAAATAATAGGATCTGATGCCCTCTTCTGGCAGACATACATGCAGACAGAGCATTCATACCAAAAACAAATAAACAAAACAACAAAATCAAACAAAAAATGCTGTACCCCCAAGCTTCAGCCCCAACAGACTCTGAGCCCATCCTCAATCTCCAGCTTATGAAGGAACTCATAGACTTTTTTGTTTGTTTGTTTGTTTTGTTTTTACGAGACAGGGTTTCTCTGTATTGTTTTGGAGGCTGTCGGTCCAGCCTCGCAACTCATAGACTTTTAATTAGCTTAATTAGCATAGTTGTCAATCACTATCTCTAGTGGATCATTTAAGTGAGCAGCCTGACATAAGTGCTGGGAAGTTAACTCTGGTCCTCTTAACCAATGAGCTACCCACCTCTCTAGCCCCTGAAAACACAACCTGTTTATGTACATAGGAAGATATACTGCATATAAGACATTAAAAATAATGCCAGAAAGAAGTATGGATGGTCTATTTTCCTATTTTCTGTATTGGTTATATAATTTGTATTCTATTTTTCTAGACAGGGTCTTACTCTGTACTTGTGGCAATTCACCTCCTTCCTCCTCCTCAGCACTGAGACTGCAGGTGTGAGCTGTCACACTTGGCTCCCCAGCCACAGTAAAAGGCAGACTAAACTGGGCATGGCTGGCTCACACCAGTAATTCCAACACTCAGGAGACATAGGTGATGGGGGATGTCCTGTCTGTATGCTGTGAATGTAATTGGTTTAATAAAACCAAGAGCCAGGCAGGCAGTATAGGTGGGGCTACCAGACAAGGAGAATGCTGGAAAGAGAAAGGCATGCCATGTAGCTACCAAGAAGATAGGATGCTAGGCATTCTCCAGTAAGATAAGGCCATGAAGAAACACATAGATTAATAGTTATGGGTTAATAATTAAGAGAGCTAGCCAGTAAGAAATCTAAGCCATCGTCCAAACAGTTTATAATTTATATAAGCCTCTATGTGTTTATTTGGAACTGAAAGGCTACGGGACCAGGCGGAACAGAAACTCCGTCAACACACAAGCAGGAGAGAACTCAGCAAATTCCACACCAGCCAGACCCTTGTAATGGTTAATATTATCACCTTAACACAAACTAGAATCACCTAGGAGAAAGCTTTGGGCATGTCTGTAATAGATTGTCTAGATTAGGTTGTCTCTGATGACTTACCTAAATGTGGATTTTTTTGTTTTGTTTTGTTTTTACGAGACAGGGTTTCTCTGTATTGTTTCGGAGGCTATCGGTCCAGCCCGGCCTCGAACTCACAGAGATCCGCCTGCCTCTGCCTCCTGAGTGCTGGGATTAAAGGCGTGCGCCACCACCGCCCGGCCTAAATGTGGATTTTACCACCTATGCACACAAGGCAGTCCTTTGCTTCCCGACTGTGGTGCAATGAGACCAGCCCCTTTATGTTCTTTCTGCCATGAAGTCTTTGCCATGACAGACTGCACACTTGAACTCTGAGCAGGGATAAACCCTTCTTCCTTTAACTTAGCTTCATCGTGTATATTTATTTATTAATTTGTTATCATCGTCATCAGTATTACTGTATGTATTATATGATGTGTGTTATGGGGTGAGGAGTGTACATGTGTGACAGCACATGTTTAGAGGACAATTTATGGTAGTCAGTTATTTCCATTCACTTTTCTGAGACAGGGTCTTTCTGGTTGTTCTTGATGCTGTGTACTTCTATGCTATCTGGCCCATGAGCTTCCAGGCAATTCCTCTGTCTCTGCCTCCTGTCTTGACACAGGAATACTGAATTACAGATATAAGCCATGGAATCCAGATTCTTGTGGGTTCTGGGAATAGAATTCAGGTCATCCGCTCAGAAAGCGTTTTTACCTGTTAAACCATCACTGGTACTTTTATTTTTTACTTAAAAAACATTTATTTATTTATTTATTGTATTATATATTATATATATGGAGGGTTTGCAGTATGCACCCACGTTGTGTAGAAATTTCCTCGCATATGAAATAGTCCATCCTAGAGGAAATGCTTGTTAAAACTCAGGAAATTCTACTTTTAAAATTTTATTTTCTTTATTTTATTATTATTTTATTTATTTATTTATTTTTGTTTTTCAAGACAGGGTTTCTCTGTGTAGCCCTGGCTGTCCTGGACCTCAGTCTGTAGGCCAGGTTGGCCTTGAACCCAGAGATCCACATGCCTCTGCCTTCTAAGTCTTGGGATTAAAGATCATGCCTGGCAAGATTTAGGAAATTCTAAAGAAAAACTTATGAAGACTCAGAAAGTAACCAACTTGTTCAGTCTCAGAAGTCCCTGAAACTGACCAACTGAACAAGGCCCCTCCCTCTCCGGGGTTATGTGTGCAGTTAAAGCTGCCGAGGAGACTCTCAATCCGCTCAGCTGTCTGCAAGTCATGCAGAGAGCTTCATCACCCAGGTTGGGGTGGGCAGTCAGTGACACAGTCGTAGCTGCCTTTGAGGCATCCGTGCTTACATAAGTAACTCCAATAAACTCACTGGTTTACCAAGTTGAACTTCTGTGCTAAAGTGAGTAGATGCTTGCTCAGTCTCCCCAGGAACAGTGTCACACAACAGTACACCACAGACATGTGGAGGGCAGAGGAAACTCAAGAGAGTTGGTTCTCTCTCTGGTTCCAGTGACTGCAGGCCTGGCAGTGAGCACTCTAACCTCTGAGTCACCTTGCTCCTCCTCCTTTTTTAAGTTTTATGTTTTGGCCAGGCATTTCATCATGGTGACAAGAAAAGAAACTAATACAACTCTGTCTCAAGGAAAAAAAATGTAGTAAGCAGACCTTCACGTGTAGTGAGCGATTGTCATGTACAGTAAGCAGACAGTCCCGAGCAGTAAGCAATGCCACGTGGCATGCCTCATGTCTGTTGTTGCGGAAGCTTCACTGTGATCAGCACAGTCTCTGAGAGCTTGCTTGCGCTCCTGGACTGACTATCACTCCTCTCCAACTGGAGAAGGAAGTCAGCCTATGTGGGAAGGGGATGGCACTGACTAGCCAGGCAGATTAACCAAAGCAACCCTGGTTTTCAACAGGAACGCTGCAATCAGATTACGTCACACACAGAAACCTAGTTGCCTTTGAAAAGAAGTGGCCCAGAAGTTACAGTAATGCTAGGCACTGGAGAGGGAAGTCAATACTAATTAGGGCCTCTCTAAAGTTATACAGCTGGTATTTGGAACACAGCTGTTCCACAAGCCTGAATGTCAAGTCTAAAGAAAATGCTCTTCAGACCATATGAGATAACAGATTTCCCCAAGGAACTGAAGACTGTTTTGGTTTTGGAAAAAAACCTCAATTAAACATGTTCTACTGTGTACGAAATGTATGAAAGGAAGTAACGCCATGCAAATGTATGAAGGAAGTAATGCCATGCAAATGTATGAAGGAAGTAATGCCATGCAAATGTATGAAGTAACGCCATGCAAATGTATGAAGGAAGTAACGCCATGCAAATGTATGAAGGAAGTAACGCCATGCAAATGTATGAAGGAAGTAACGCCATGCAAATGTATGAAGGAAGTAACGCCATGCAAATGTATGAAGGAAGTAACGCCATGCAAATGTATGAAGGAAGTAACGCCATGCAAATGTATGAAGGAAGTAATGCCATGCAAATGTATGAAGGAAGTAATGCCATGCAAATGTATGAAGTAACGCCATGCAAATGTATGAAGGAAGTAACGCCATGCAAATGTATGGAAGGAAGTAATGCCATGCAAATGTATGAAGGAAGTAACGCCATGCAAATGTATGAAGGAAGTAACGCCATGCAAATGTATGAAGGAAGTAATGCCATGCAAATGTATGAAGGAAGTAACGCCATGCAAATGTATGGAAGGAAGTAATGCCATGCAAATGTATGGAAGGAAGCAATGCCATGCAAATGTATGAAGGAAGTAACGCCATGCAAATGTATGAAGGAAGTAATGCCATGCAAATGTATGAAGGAAGTAACGCCATGCAAATGTATGAAGGAAGTAACGCCATGCAAATGTATGAAGGAAGTAACGCCATGCAAATGTATGAAGTAACGCCATGCAAATGTATGAAGGAAGTAATGCCATGCAAATGTATGGAAGGAAGTAATGCCATGCAAATGTATGAAGGAAGTAATGCCATGCAAATGTATGAAGTAACGCCATGCAAATGTATGAAGGAAGTAACGCCATGCAAATGTATGAAGGAAGTAACGCCATGCAAATGGATGAAGGAAGTAACGCCATGCAAATGGATGGGCATACACACAGGAAGCTGGGAGGAGCAGATGACAAAGCTGGCAAAGCCCTCTGGCCCAGGTTCCAAGCTGAGAGGCTGACTGGGAAATGCACAGCAATGTCTCCTCATAACCAGACTCCAATCACTGCGGACTTCAAGGGGAAGCAGGAGGGCCACCAAGATGAGAAGATGAAATAAAACTAGCACAGGACTTACATTTGTTCAGTTGTCCTGGGCAGCTTGTCATCATTACCTATAAGGGAAATGTTTCCTTTTAAGTTAAATACAACATGTGCACAGACTACAGTCGTACATGGCTTTTCCCAGTGTTTTCTTGGACTTTTATCCCTTCACCCCTTTTCAACTCATTCCACAGAATCTTAGGCTATGGAGTGTTTTTACTTTCATTTTAGAAAATAATTTAACTTTGAAGTTCTGCTCCCCCCCACATTTCCCTGCCCCCATATTTCCTAAATAATCTTTCTAGAGTCTCCTGGTTTCTGTATTAACGGCTTCTGATGTACTGACCTTTGGGAAGCGATGCTGGGAGCCACACTAATTCAAGTTTTCCCTGTTTCTCTTTGGATACCTGGAGCTTTAGAGTGTCCCAGCAAATAGGGTCCCCCTGCTCAGCCTAGCCCTCCTGAAGGACACTGCACAGGTTCTCAGCTATGGGACGTCCTATCAAGGTCAGCTCTCCCTCTTCTCACAAAAGCAACTAGACAGGACTTCAGCCATGTTCTCCAAAGTCACACCATTGCCCACGTGCCAGCTCTCTCAGATAATGCTCAGTACGCTTGGCCTTTCTTCTGACACCAAGAGCAGGACACACACAAGGCAAGACCTCATCTTCTGACAGCAAGCGCAGGGCAGACACAAGGCTAGACCTCAAACCATAGATGAACCAACAGTTTTTTCCCTGAGATGCATTCTGTGAGGAATGAGTTAGACACAGTAACTCTCAAGTTGCAATCAGGGCCCAAAAGATGGTATTTTGCATAAAATAATAAATAGTGAGTTAACTTCCCTTTTGTGGGAGGAACCATTATGCATTTACCAGGACTTACCCAAGTAAGGAACATGAGTAGCGCCAAAAAAGTACGTCCTTGAACATGCCAGAGGTCCCTTTGGTGAGACACACTGAGCGACCTGAATATCAGAGGGGAAAGGAAGATGAGTGTCCTCGGAGCTGGTGACCAGGCTCAGTGGGTAACTGTGCTCACTCACAAGTCTGGCCATGTGACTTTATTCCCCAGAACCCACGCAAAGATGGGAGGAGAGAAGAGACTGCACAAGGTTGTCCTCTGACCTCTACGCATGCCATGCACATGCATGTCCCCGCCCCACTTCATGAATATACACACAACAATCAAACATTTCAAAAGGAGCAAACTTAGACATGTGGTGCTGAAAAAACAAAAAAACCTAATTAATGGAATAAAGTTTATCTAACTGAAACTGATTTAATTTCTAAAGACAAAACTACTTAATTTGATTTAAACAACAGTATTATGTATATTCATTTTAGTTTTGATTTTATTTATATTCATTTATTTGTTGAGGGGTGCATCCAGGTATACCATAGTAGAATCCAGAAAACAACTTTCGGAAGTTAGTTTTTTTCTTTTACCACATGAATTCAGGGGATGTCTTAGTTAGCTTTAACTGTCAGTTTGACACAGCCTAAGTCACCTGAGGAGAGGCTCAATTGAGGGATTGCCCAGATTAGATTGGCCTGTGGGGCATGTCTGTACGGAACCATCTTAATTACTGGATGGAAGAGAGTCGTCCCCCTGTGGGCAGTGGCCTTAGGCTGTATAAGAAAGCTAGCTAAGCATCACTGAACAGCTCTCAATGAAGAACCGTGATCTCAAAGTATGAGTCAAACAAATCCTTTCCCTCCCTAAATTGCTTTGGTCAGTGTTTGTTTTCTATGTTTTAGAGACAGGGTTTCTCTGTGTAGCCTTGGCTGTACTGGAACTCACTTGAACTGAGAAGTCTACCTGGCTCTGCCTCCCACGTGCTGGGATTAAAGTGTTTTATCACAGCAACAGAAAGGAAAATAGAATACAGGAATCAAACTTAGACTGTCAGTCTGGGAAGCAAGCAACTTTAGCTACTAAGCCTTTTTATCAGCCCTCTGTGTTCATTATTTTTCCTTCCTTGGCTACACTGTGAGGTTGCTATTGGGTACAGAGTCAGCCCAAGATATTAGTGAATTCACAACTCACAAGGAAAAGGCAGGCAAAATGACAGAGGGACATAAGGGGACAGCTACAAATTTAGGAAACACCCGGCTTCCTTTGAACTTCATTTCTGTATAGATTAAGCTCCTCTAGGGTTATAACATTTTATTTTTGTTCCCTGTTTTAAATTGTTCTTTTATACCAAGATAGAAATAAATATTTGGGGAGAGATGGAGAAATGGAGAGATGGCTCAGTGGTTAAGAGCACTGGCTGCTCTTCCAGAGGACAGGGTTTAATTCTCAGAACCCACATGGACTTATCACAGCCATCTGTAACTCCAGTTCCAGGGGATCTGATGACCTTTCCTGGCCTCTGTGGGCACCAGGTTGGCACATGGTACACAGACACACATTCATGCAAAATTCCATACAAATGAAAAAAATATGTTCATCAAGTGTTCCTAAGATACCAAGTATAAAATGCAAAAATGCAATCATCTCGTAAAACAAAAAACAAACAAACAAAAAAAACTAAAGAAGGGGCTACAGAGAAGGCTCAGTTAAGACATTTGTTCTTCAGAGGACCCAGCTTTGGTTTCCAGAACACCCATAGTGGCTCACAACCATCTCTGAGGGCACAAGGTGCATACACAGGGAAAACATTCATATACCCAAAATAAAATAAGTCTAAACAAACAAATTTTTAAAAAACCTCAAAACTTAAGGAGGACCAGTGAGATATCTCAGTAGATAAAGTTGCCTGCTTGTAAGCTGACAACTTGCATTAGATACACGGGATCCACATGGTGGGAGTACAGAACCTATTCTCATGAATACACATACATACACTAAAATAAATCAATAAACATGTAAAACAAAAAAAATAAAAGCCATAAAGGAATGCTGGTGTGGTGGGTCTGTGTCTATGATCTTGGGAGGATTCAGGGTCATCTTCAGCCACATACTGAATTCAAGGCCAGCCTAGGCTACATGAGACCTTGTCTCAAAGGGCAAACCAAAAACAAGTGAGTAAATAAACCATAAAAGAATGGAAAGTAGGCCAGAATAGAAAACAGCTAAATGTTTACAAATATTCCTTCTTTCAATTTTAGTCTACGAATGGAAGCCACGCCAGATACATGACATTTCTCTTTATTCGTTTTATGTGTATGGTGTTTTGCTGGCATCTGGTGCCCATGGAGGTCATCAGTGGGCATCAGACTCCCAAGAACCAGAGTTACAGACAGTTGTGAGCCACAACGTGGGTGCTAAAAACTGAAACTGGGTCCTCTGGAAGAGCAGCCAGTGCTCTTAACTAAAAAGCCATCTCTCCAACCCCACAAGGAATTTTTTCTGCAATGACAACAGAATTTTGTCACAGATGAAACTGCTTTTGTTATGAGTCTGCATATTTTACGCACACTTGTTAATTTTTAAATCACCCACAGGTGGCACAGAAACAGAGGAGTAAGAGTTAGAACAGACCTGATTTTTTGATCATTGTTTTTTCTCTTTACATTTAAACTTTAGAGGCTTTATTTTTTAAGCACATTTATTTTCTGCATTTGTGTGTGCAAGAGTGTGCATGTGTGAGCCTGTGTGAACACTTGCCAGGACACTTTGTGGGGAGTCAGTTCTCTCTTTCTATCTGGTGGGTTCCAAAGATTGAACTCAGGTTGCCTAGCTTAGTGGCAAGTTCCCAACCCCATGCCTGGGAATGATTCATCTTCAAGGTCAAGAATTATTTCCTTGGTATGTCTATTCTAGTATCAAACACATTTCTCATTTGTGCTACAATGCTTCTGATTTCTATCAATTTCTTTTGATTCTTTCTCAGAGTTTCCAATTCTCTGCTCACTTATCTAATCTTAAATGATGTCTACTTTTTGCATTAGAGCCTTAATTATTAATTATGTTTATTTTAAACTCCCTCTCCAGGTCTAGGACAACAGCTCAAAGGTAGAACAGTTGCTTAATATTCTTAATACACTGGGCTCCATCTTACATTGCAAATAACAATAATAAAAATAAATTATATTTGAAAAATTATAAAAACTGAGCCCTATCTGAATCTGAAGGTTAAACTACCACCCCCAGTCCTTGAGATAGAGTGTTGCTATGCTATTCAAGCTAGTCTTGAACTTGTGATTTTCCTTTCCAAACCTCCTGAGTGATGCCACTACAGATATCTGCAACAGACCTGACTTTTCTTTAGAATTAATATAATTGTCTTTTTACACAATATTTTTTCCTTGCCACTTGGTGTGCCTTGTAACTTTCTGTTGAAGTTAGACACAGCAACTCAACTAATAAGGACTGAGATAAGCAAGCCCTTATGGTAAGATTTGATGTTAATATGGCTGGGTATTGAATTGTGTTTAGTATTTTTTTTTAGCTCCAACTACCATGGGCTTCATATTCTTGTAGTCCTGTATGTCTGTTATCTGCTGCTACTACACTGCAGATCTGTTGGGGTAAGAGAATGGGGAGGAGTATTCTCTACCGCTATAATTAAGCCTCAGTATTTGGGTGTGCTTGTGAAAGAGCTTAACTCTTCCTTTCCTGCTTCTCAGGAAGGCTACAGTGTGATAAGGTTAAGTGATGGCTTTCTTCTAATTGGAATGGGACTTTGGTGAAATCTTCTGTTTTGGAGAGGAGGTCTTTACTACTACTTTTCTCGTATTATAGGTGACTTTATCCACCTGTCTCATCATCCAAGAGGAATTTTTTCTTGGCTCCTTACCATTAGAATCTGTTAGGGTTTTAGAAATTAAACCCCTGTAAATCTGGTGCTCCTTCTAAGACTGTGTCCTCTATGAGTTTCTCACCCATACTAGTCCACATTCAAAACCCAGGATTTCATCACAATTTCAACTTGAGGGGGACTGAATGTGACTCTTTTGGTTTTACCTGCCCTCCAAAGCTCAGAGTGACAGTTTGAATGGGTTCAAGAACAGGGTTTTGTTTGTTTGTTTAAAAAAAAAAAACTTCAGAGTCATAACTCTTATTTATTTTTATTCATGTATATGAGTACTGTATATGATGTATGACTTGCATCACTTGCAAGCCTTGTGCCTTAAGATTCAGAAGACATTATTGTCGGGTGGTGGTGGCATACCCTTTTAATCCCAGCACTTGGGATTAAACTCTCTTTGAGTTCCAGGCCAGCCTGGTTTACAGAGCGAGTTCTAGGACAATCAATGATACACAGAGAAACTCTGTCTTGAAAAACCAAAAAATGTATACAGAAAACAACCACCACATTACTGTTTTGGTTCTGAACTTATTAGCCTGTCTGCCTCTTTCTCTTCACCTTTCAGAGTCAAATGTCCAGGATTTAGTTGAATTTAGCAGGTGAAGGAAAAAGTATACCTATCCCATTTTTTTAAACAGGATCTAAAAGTCACCCTGTCTTCTCTATTCGGATTTAACACATGGCATCAACAGTAACATTATATAGAGATGCCTCTCCTCTGGCATTTTCTATATATTCCAACAATTTTGGAATGGGGTTATAGTTTTATCTCCATAACTAAAAGCCATTCAGGGGAGGAAAAAATATATGTGGCTTATGCTTCCAGGTCACAGTCCACCACTGAGGGAAGTCAAGGCAGGAATCTGAAGCAGAAACCACAGAGAGATGCTGCTTGTGGGTCCATTCTCTGCATGGACACAGGCTCATGCTTAACTAACTTTATTATACAGCTCGAGATCACCCCTTACTCCAGAAAATGGTAAATGGTACTGTCACAATCAAGAAAATCCCTTACATGTCCACATGTCTGATAAAAAGAGCTATTTACTCAATGGAGACTCCATTTTTGAGGTGACTGTAGGTTGTGTCAAGTTGACAGTTAATGCTAACTGGGACAACAGGACAGCAAGATCCTACAGCTCATGCATTCTGGTAGCCTTCTAACCTGAGGTAGCCTGTAGGTGGCCCCAAGTCTTTCAAACTGTCAGCCCAGAAATGCTACCATATCCACTTGGGTCTTGTGTTCTCAAAATCCTAATTAAAAACTAACTACACCTAACATTCTAGCTTCCCTAATTTCCTGCAACATTTAAAAAAGTACTTTGTTAGAAACATTTAAAAATACTTAACATTCTACTAAGACAGCATAGACTTTGACAACCATTAAAATCGCATACTGAAGTGTAATGGTCCCCGTTATTTTATTTCTATGTGTGTATAAGGGAGGTTGTACATGTTCATATATGTGGGTTCAGGCATAAACCTGGCATGGTAGGAGTTTAAATAACCTCCAGGTGTTGGTCTCTGCTTTTCCATCTTGTTTGCAATAGGCTGCTGTATACACTATGCTGGCTAATTAACCTGTAAGCTTCTCGAGTCTCCCATCCCTGCCTCCCACCTTCGATTACAGGGGAGCACCACCACCACCACCCAGGAGCTGCTGTTTAAAGAATACAGCAAGTAATACACCATCATGTGATAAAGAACAATTAGAGGGAAGGTGAGATAAAGCCTAAAGACCAGAGTTCAATCCCTGGAGCCCCTGTGAAGACAGAAGGGAAGAACCAGATCCATAAAATTTGTCTCTGGCCTCCACACATGTACTGTGACACATAGGTACTTCCCACACACACCAAACACGCACACAAGTAAAATAAATATAAACCACACATGTACTGTGACACATGGGTACCTCTCACACACACCAAACACACACACAAGTAAAATAAATATAAACCACACATAGGTATCCCTCACATCAAACACACACAAGTAAAATATAAACCACACATGTACTGTGACACATAGGTACCTCTCACACACACCAAACACACACACAAGTAAAATAAATATAAACCACACATGTACTGTGACACATAGGTACCCCCCACATCAAACACACACATAAGTAAAATAAACAAAGGTTTTCAAATTCACACCCACAACTTATTAAAACATATAGTGAGTTACGAATCACTTCACTGTAAAACAACTTCAAATTCAGGATTATGTCAACATAATAACAGAAAAAGGCTCCTTTTGGCCAGCAGCCCTTCCTTGTCATTAGATAGTAAAATTAATCAAGTACAGACAGTCTGGCCACTCACCATGTGTTTGGCAAAGCTCCCTGCAGGACCAGTGTTGCGCACCAGGTGCCCCTCAGAAGGGAAGTTGAAGCTGCCAGCACTCAGGTTGTCTCGCGTAGAGTGGTTACCAAAGAGAACAAACGGCTGTCGGTGAGGGCTAAAGCAGCGAGTTAAAGTGCAATTAGACAAGGTCCCACGACGGGTCAGGCTTTTCTGAGTACTGTGACCACAAGCTGGTCAAAGTCCAATCTACCTAAAGTCCCTGACTGCCTTGGAAGGGATGTCAGATGTTGCTGACTCGTTCTGGTGACTTCTGGGGATCAGTCACTCAGGATAGAATTATACCCTTGCTAAGTTTATGACTTCTCACTTGACCTCCTTTTTGAGGAGTCAGCTCCTGGAGTCTGCTATCAAAAATATAATGACAATTCTTTATAAGTTAAAATTTTAACAGAAATACAGCTTTTAAAGAGTCATGGTGGTTGGACTACTCAGATCCAATAGACAACAGAGTAGCCACCAACTCTAAGTACCTCTCGGGAGGGCAGGAGGAGGAGGACACTCTGATGGTACCCTATCACACCACCTCCCCATGCACCCACTGCCAGTTCTCTTGTCTTGCCTTGCCTATGACTGGATGCCCACTTCCTGCTCATTCCGTAATGTTCTTCAGACAGTTTTGTCAGAGCTTTCCTAAGAGCCACCAAGGAAACTTCACGTGTAGCATTTAGAAAATCAAATAAACAGCCGGGCGTTGGTGGCGCACGCCTTTAATCCCAGTACTCAGGAAGCAGAGACAGGCGGATCTTTGTGAGTTCGAGACCAGCCTGGTCTAAAAGAGCTAGTTCCTGGGCAGCCTCCAAAGCCACAGAGAAAAAAACCAAAAAAAAAAAAAAAAAAAAAAAAAAGAAAATCAAATAAACATGACTCATTTTTCTTCTGAAACTTATCAAGCTAAGTTATACTTTAAACAGAAACTGTTCTGTCTGAAACCCAAGCAGGTGGTTTGTCTATTAGACTGGACTGGGCTTGGGGAAAACTGTGATCTATCTCCTCTACCCACCAAAGAAAACTTCTGCTGATCACGACAAAGATGCAGAAGGCAGCACTCAGAAACCCTTGCCTCCCCATCTTCCGCAAGGTGCTTGGTTCTTAGTTTAATTCATCTTACCCCCCTTCAAATACTGCTGCTTCCTGTCTGCAGTTGTATACTGTTTCGTTTTGCTTTCCTGAGCTAGGGATAAAGTAAAAATTCCTTTCTTTTAGATTGAAGCAGATTATAATATTCTAAGAGATCACAGAAAAAATGAAGCAAATACAAAAGTACAAAGTACCAAGACAAATGAATCACAACTAAGGAGTTCTTATACTGTAACTATAGTCAACTCCCACTCTGAACTTGGACACCCATATTCAACACCACTGTTTTCAACTCCATTTCAACTCTATTACCATTTCCACTTTCGTCCCAGGAACATACCTGTTTTCAGTAATATGGCTGGAGATCATTCCATGATTGAAGTAGCTTCTGAATGGCTAAAACAAGAAGCCAAAATCTGATGTAAGACAATAGCTTGAAAATAATAAAAAATTTCATGTATGTGTATATGTACACACATGCACATCAGGAGAATGAGCAGTGTGTAACAGAAAGACAGAGATATGTACAAAGTATAAGAACACAGAAAGATAAATCATGAATTTGGATATAACAATGAAACAAAACATTGTGAAGAAGATAGAAAAAGGTAATGGGTGGTGGCAGCACACATTTAATCCCAGAACTCAGGTAAGGCTTGTTCAGGGCTACCATGGTTCACGGAAGAATGGAGTAATGACAGTTTAAGCCCAAGTTAGGCTCAAAGGCAAGCTCAAGACCACTCTTGTGGTTTCTTTCTGCTGAATAGTGTTTGTGACGTTCCATTCCCTGGATTTCAATCAGACAGTTCACTTTAGTTATAAGGTGTGCCTGAGCCTAAACCAATGCAGCCATGGAAATGCAGGCGTGGGAAGGGAATTGTCACTCATGACCATGGCTCTGATGGTATTTAGAGGTGCAGAATTATTAACTAGCAATAACTACTGGTTGGGAAAACCACCATGCTGAAGGATGAACATCCTTCTAATAGAGATGCTGTCACAAGAAAAAAGTATTTTGGGGGCAAAGGGGATTGAAACCAGGGCCTTGAATATACGTGCCTACCTCTGAACTACATTCTAGTTACAAAACAACATTTTTTTTATAGGCAAGGAAGGGGATTTCTTTTATGACATACCATTTATAGAAATGATAACCAGTCAGCTGGTAATGTGGCACACAACTTTAGTCCCAGCACTCGGGAGACAGAGGCAGGTGAATTTCTGTGAGTTCAAGGCCAGCCTGGCCTACAGAGTGAATTCCAGGACAGGCTCCAAAGTTGCACAGAGAAACCCTGTCTCGAAAAACCATAAAAAAAAAAAGGAAGGAAGAAATGATAACTTAAACAAACCTCTTCAGTGGCATTATCTTGAAAAAAATTTAATAAGCCAGGCATTGAGATACATTTTTTACCCTAGCATGTGCGAGGGCAGAGGCAGGTAAAAAAAAAAAAAAAAGGAAGGAAGAAACGATAACTTAAACAAACCTCTTCAGTGGCATTATCTTGAAAAAAATTTAATAAGCCAGGCATTGAGATACATTTTTTACCCTAGCATGTGCGAGGGCAGAGGCAGGAGGATATTTGTAAGTTCCAGGCCAGTCAGGGCCACATAGTAAGACCTGTCTCAATGGTAAATTAGCAACAATAAGAAATTAACCACTCTTCCTTTCTCTGTATGACTTTCACTTACATACCTCACCCGCCTGAGATTCCGAAAGTTCCAGCAGGAAAGGGATTTCTGTGTCAAAGTTAGCAAAGAAGCTTGTCCACTGATGCTCAAACACCACCAAGTCCTATTTAAAAGAACAAAAAATAACACAGGGTCATATGAGAGGCACATTAGAGGACAGGAATCACGAACGTATCTGAAACACCAGGCTGCTCTACATGTAGATTATTTGCTTGTTTGTTTGTTTCTTTGTTTATTTGAGACAGGGTTTCTCTGTGTAGCTCTTCCTGACCTGAAACTCAATTTGTAGACCAGGCTGGCCTCAAACTCACTGAGATTCTCTTGCCTCTGCCTCCCAAGTGCTGGGATTAAAGGTGGGCGACATGACCACCTGGCCTATATGTGGATTACTTATTATTATTGAAAAGAAAATATCCAGAGAAGGAATATCTATGCAGACAAAGTGGGTCTACAGTATTACCTGGGGAGGGGGACAGATTCTGACTGAACATGGATACAGGTAACTTTCTGGGTTGGTAAAAATATTATCTATTATGATTATTTTTTTAAGACAGCACTTTTATTATGCAGTACTGGCTGGCCTGAAATTCTCTATGTAGACCAAACTGGCCTTCCTCTTCTTCCCAAGTGCTAATATTATATATGCCCAGCCTTCACTAGATGCAGATTGATGAGCAAATGGGCAAAGAATGGGCTGGCGAAACCAGCAGAGACAGCTGACCTGAACAAGGGGGAGCTCTTGGACCCCAGACCGACAGCTGGGAGGCCAGCATGGGACTGATCCAGACCCCCTGAGTGTGAGAATCAATGAGGAGGCCTGGGCAACCTATGGGGCCCTGGGTAGTAGATCATTATTTATCCCTGGCATACAAATGGACTTTGTGTGTCCATAACACAAAGAGGGATGCTCTCTCAGTCTTGACTCTTGGGGGAGGGCCTGGACCCTGCCCTGAGTGAAATGACAGACTCTGGATATCCCCTATGTGGAAGGAAATGGGGATAGGGTGGAAGGCTGGGAGGGATGGTAGGGGAGTGCTGGAGGAGAGAAGGGAGAGGGAGCTGGGATTGGCATGTGAAGCAAGCTCTTTTCTAAAAAAATGTAATAAAAAATAAGGAGAAAAAAAAAGATGCACACGCATATTTATAAAATTCTCAATAATCCCAATGTGGGGATTGGGGAGAGGGTTGGAATTTGTTAAGATAGCATCTTACTATGTAACCCAGGCTGACCTCAAGCTCATTATCCTCCTGCCTCAGCCTCCTGTGTCCTGGGAATATAGGCATATACCACCATTCCTCATGAGATATTTTGGCTAATGATAAACTAAACATATGATAGCATATACCATATAGGAGGTTTATGTAATCTTACTTTATAATGCTTATACAATGGCAAAAGGGACTAAACACACATCTCTCTGTATCTACTTCCTTTTTATATTGTTCTATTTTTGTGTTTGTTTGAGACAGGGTTTCTCTGTAACAACCTGGCTGTCCTGGAACTACCTCTGTAGATCAGGCTGGCCCCTAATTCACAGAGATCTGCCTGCCTCTGCCTCCCAAGTACTGGGATTAAAGGTGTGCACCACTGCCATATGGCCTTTTTTATATTTCTTAAAGATTTATTCATTTTTATTTTATGTGTATGAGTGCTTTGTTTACATGTATGTATATGCATCATGTGTGTGCCTGGTGCTCACAAGAGGTCAGAAGAGTTCCTCAGCTTCCCTGGAACTGGAGTTACAGATGGCTGTGAGCCACCAAGTGGGTGCTGGAAACATGGGCCCTCTGTAAAAACAATAAGCCTTAACCACTGCGCCATCTGTCCAGCCCTCAAATCCTATGTATTGCAAACATCACACACACAATAAAGGAAGCTCTGCCTACTACAGAGGTCTAGAATTAGGACCCCACCAGTCACAATGAACATCCCTAATACTCATTGAACTGATGAAATACAGTTTCCCATTAAAAGTAACTAGCAGTTAGAGAAAAGATCAATTCTTTATCTAGGCCAGAAAACTTACAAATTTACAGACATGGAACATCTTATGGTAACTGGCAAGGAAATTTCAAGGACTATGGTTATAGGGTTAAAAGGATGCATGAGCCACTACCAAAAGATAAAATAATATGAGTGCCACCAAAAATTATAGTTGTAGTTAATTTCACTTACAAATTTCCAAACTGTTCCTTTCCATGCTCTTAAGTTGAAATTAATTTCCTACAAAATTCAAATATTTTAAGGGTGGGATTGACCTTTCTTTAACTAGCTCTTGAACTAGTTTTAGTATAATTCTCTTGTAAAATATGATCCTATCTTAAACAAAAATCTTAAATACAAAAGAATTCACCTAGAAAACCATATGCTTCTGGTATTTCCTATATTTTTTCAATTGTTTTTAGATTTCCAATATGTCTACTTGCTTTTGTTTGTTTTTTGAGGTAGTATCTTGGATTACCTTAAATCATTGATATCATTGATCCTCCTGCCTCTGCCTCCTACATGCTGGGTTTAGAGGTATGTACCACGATGCACAGCTGTTAATTTCCTTGTGTCAATTATTTCACTTACTCTGTTTTGTTTTTGGAGGCAGGGTCCTAGCTAACCGGAATCTCACTATCTCAACCAGGCTGAACTTGAATTTCCAAAGACTACCCTAACCTTCCCTTCAAATGCTGGGGCTACAGGTGTGAATGGTTTTATCTACATGTAACTAAGTGCCCTGCCTGCTTGCCTTGTACCTGCAGAGGCCAAAAGGTATCAGATCTCTTGGAACTGGAGTTACTGACTGTAGCATGAATAATAAAAACCCAGAGACAGATATTGGGGTTCAAGCTGAAGACCAGAAAAGCAAAGCAGCCAACCACTAGAGAGTTCTTTCCTCTAACAAGGCTGGGGTGATCCTGTCCTCAGTACCTTTAACCCCAGCACTTGGGAGCAGAGGCAGGTGAATGGATTTCTGTTGAGTTCAAGACCAGACTGAGATAGTAGATTACTTCACCTCCTTTTGAGACACTTTGTTTGTTTGTTTGTTTTTCGAGACAGGGTTTCTTTGTGTAGCCCTGGCAGTTCTGGAACTTGCTCTGTAGACCAGCCTGGCTTCAAATGTCTTAAGAGAACCACCTGCCTCTGCCTCTGCCTCTGCCTCTGCCTCTGCCTCTGCCTCAGCCTCCCAAGTACTGGGATTAAAGGCGTGCACCAACACTGCCTAGCTTCAACACTTTTTCTTTTCTTTCTCCCTTTCTGTCTTTCTTTCTTTCTTTCTTTCTTTCTTTTTTTTACAGGTCTTGCCTCAAGTTTATTTGTAAAAACAGCACAGGGCAGGATCACCTGCTGATAGTATAAGTGTGTCATACCAGTCCAGTCCATCTGTCTTCACAGTGACAGAAACCTTTTTCTATGGGGCCTTCACAGGAGCCTGGGCACCTTTGGGAGCCTGAGCTGAAGCCTGGGCCTTAGCTGGAGCGGAGGCCTCTGCCTTGGTTTGAGCCTTAGGCTTTGGTTGGCAGAGCCTACGACTCTTGGCTATGTAGTTTCTAATGCGCTCCCCAAGCTTGGGGTGAGCGAGGAAAGCAAGGCGGCTGAGTTTGCGGCTGGGGCCCTTTGGCATCTTGGACTTCACCAGGTCCTTGATGGCCGCTGCCAGTGCGCTCATTGCCTTGGCACTGTTTGCCTGCATCTTCTTCAGGCCTTTCTTGTTGTGCTTCTTGGCAAAGCGCATGTTCCTCAGGAACTTGGGGTCCACCCCCTTGAGAGATTTGTATCTTTGTGATCGGGGTTTCTTGATGCCATTTCCTGGACTGGTTATGTGTGGTGTAGTTCTTGGACTTGGCCATGTCTGAATGGTATCCGGCAGCTCAACACTTTCTTAAAAATATATAAAGTAGGGGCTGAAGAGATGGCTCAGAGGTTAAGAGCACTGGCTGCTCTTACAGAGGTCCTGAGTTCAATTCCCAGCAACCACATGGTGGCTCACAACCACCTGCCATCTAGTGCCCTCTTCCTGACTGCAGGCAGAACACTGTATACATAATAAAAAATCTTTAAAAAAAGAATGAACTAGCCAGTAAGAAGCCCTAGCTATAATGTGTGTGTGTGTGTGTGTAAAATGTAAAATGTATTTATTTTGGTGTGGGGGTACAGCCATGCCACAGTGTAGATGTGGAAATCTACTTCCACCTTTATGTGAGCCCTAGGGAATGTTGTAGGTTATCAGGCTTGCATGGCTGAAGCTTCATAGACCATCTACTTTCCTTCTAACCAGTTCTCTCTTCCCTAGTAGTTCATATTTTAGGTATTAATAAACAGAGTTTCATGACTTCTGATTTCAGTTTCATCTTCATCAAAAACTAAAAGAAAGTTTAAAATTTAGCAAGTTGTTTTTATTTATTTATTTAAATTATTTTTTGGTTTTTCGAGACAGGGCTGTGGCTTTTGGAGTCTGTCCTGGAACTCTATAGACCAGGCTGGTCTCGAACTCATAGAGATCCACCTGCTTCTGCCTCCTTAAGTACTGGGATCAAATAGCATGTGCCAACATGCCCAGCATGTTTTACTGTTCTTTTGTTATTTTTAATTTCTGCAGTGAAGAAACCCACACCAGCCTGAATCTTACTTTTTTTTTATCTGTTTACAGTTGCTAGAGCATTTATTGCTTTTTTTGTTTGTGTTTGACAAGGAAGGGAAGGGGCTATGACTCAGTACTGAATATTCTAGGGGATGGTTCTCTAGGACATGAGATGGCTTGGAACTCACTCTAAGACCAGGTTGGCCTCAAACTCAGAGATCCACCTGTCTCTGCCAGAATTAAGGGTGTTTTCTGTCATGCCTGGCTATCTTTTTCAATATATAGGTGAGGAGACAGACAGAGTCTAATTTTCTTTGTGTACTTTCTTTACTGCTCATTAAAAAAAAAACATAATCTACTCTACCCTCCTACTCTAAATGATTAGTAGAAAGAGTAAGTGACAGACCTGATGATTCTGATAAACTAGGGGCATTTATTTATTTACTATTTACTTATTTATTTATTTATTTTTATAGGTTAGAAGACAATTTTGTGGGATTGGTTCTCTCTTTCTCTGTGGTTTCAGGGATCAAACACAGGTCATCTCATTGGCTCCATAACAAGATTTTGTCTGTTTTTGTTTATTTCTTTTGAGACAGGGTCTCACTGTGTAGTCCTGGGTGGTCTGGAACTCTATGAAGCTGGGGCTAGCTTGGAACACAGAGAGTTCCACCAGACTGTGTTTCCAGAGTGCTGAGATTAAGGGCATGTGCTACTACACCCAGATGAACAATTAATGATGAAGAGTTGGCAAATTATAGTCTAGGGTGGGACACATTTTTGTAAACAAGATAGTTATAGAACAAAAAAAAAGATAGTTATAGAACACAGAGACAGCCAGTTTAAACACTGCCTAGAATAGCTTTTGTGTTACAATGATATTGCTGAGCAGTTGTAAGAACTTAGGCAGGATATTAAAACATTACTATCTAGCCAATAGGACAAGTTTGCCACCTCTGTTCCAAATCTTGATCTCTGTAAGCAATTTGTCACCTTAATTTTTCATGTTACAAAAGACAACTATTCCATTGTTTTATTAAAGCCCAGTACAATCACCCCTCCCCTAAAAAAACAAACAACAAACCATAAAAATCTTTAGGTGAAACTAGCTGCCTTACCAGGCAGGAGGCCCAGGCTTTCCTCAGGGTGGAAGAGGAACCCTCATTCCCCCAGGTTTTTGAGTCCAGCACAATCTAGGAAGGGGCACTCTGCTTTTTTGATGAAAGCAAACTAAGATGTACCTTGCATTTCTTCAAATTAAATACCTTTGGTAGGTAACTGACATGGCTAGGATGATTTAACGCAATTATGTTAAATATGCTTTGACTCCTTACTTCTGAAAGCATATTCTCCAGAGACATAGGATCCATCCTGCTGTAGACATTCCATAGACTCAAACTCACATCCTGCAACTGCAATGAAGGGCAAAACACTGAATTAGGTCAAATCACTGGGGCAGCCAATTGCTTCTGAGCTTCAAAATTACTATCTTGGCATAAATGGTGTTACTAGAATAATAAACCAAAATTGTATTAATTATATTACTGATGATATTGTGTTATTTGTAAAGTATTCATTTTGTTAACTGTACTTATTATTATTAACTCCATTAGATCTTATACAAATTAATAAATGTTTTCTCATTCAAAAAATTATTTTCAGAATCTTCAGTATATCATCTGATTACATTCAATTATGGCACATACACATTTATATATATATATATGTACATATATATATATATATATACACACACACACACACAGTTTTTCCTTTGTAATTTTTTTTTTGTTTTTTTTACGAGACAGGGTTTCTCTGTATTGTTTTGGAGGCTGTCGGTCCAGCCTGGCCTCGAACTCACAGAGATCCGCCTGCCTCTGCCTCCCGAGTGCTGGGATTAAAGGCATGCACCACCACCGCCCGGCTTCCTTTGTAATTTTAATTAACATAATACATGCTTATGATTCTTAAAAATCAAACAGTATAAAAGATTTAGAATAAAAATTTGACTCCTCTACTTTAACTTTCTGGAAGCCCATTAGTCTCAAAAACAACTACTTAAGGCGTTTTTGGTTTTTTGAGACAGGGTTTCTCTGTGTTGTTTTGAAGCCTGTCCTGGAACCCGTTCTGTAGAACAGACTGGTCTCAAATTCATAGAGATCCGCCTGCCTCTGCCTTCCTAGTGCTGGGATTAAAGGCATGCATCACCAACGCCAGGCCAATTTAGAAGTATTAATTTATGCAAAGATGCAGGTCTTCTCTATCATCCATCCCACACTTTTTTTCTAAACACACATACTCTAATATCACCTTTTTGGTTACATCATTAGCTGTTAATAGCATCAAACAAATATTATCATACAGATTACCATGCAAATATGAGGTAAAGCACACTTCTACCCTCACCAGGTGTACTTACTGCTCCTTTTTTTTTTTCACTAGCATAATCTTTGCTTGTAGCCTGGCTGACCTTGACCTTGTAGATCTACCTGTCTCTACCATTTGAGTGCTGGGGTTAACAATTCAATCCTAAACTTTTAACAGACCCACCCAGTCTGCTCTCTCCAGGGTTTCCCAGAAGTGCCACTACTGTTGTCTCCTTGTCTGGGCAGAGGCCCCTGGCCGTACAAAGCATGCAGCATCCCTAGCTTCTATGCAGCATGTTCCTTTTGCACTTCTCTCAAAGCCAAACATTTGCGGGCAGGAGAAGACATCACCTCCAAGATTCACTCTGAATCCAAGTAACCCATAGAGTTTTCTCAGCCTACTGAACTTTATTATGTGAAGGGAAGAGAACCTTCAAGAGCATGCTGATCTTAGATGCTCTGGTCTTTGAGACTAGGATGAGTTTTGTCTTGCCTTATTTTGTTTTTCCAGATAAAGTCTCTCCATGTATCCTAGGCTAAGGAGAATTTGCTGTTATATGAAATATGCTGAACACATGTTGGTAGGTGATGGTGCTGTTTTACTAGGTGGTGGAAACTTCAGGAGGTAAGGTCTACCAGGAAGGTTACTCCTGACTTCCAGTTCCTTCCTCCTCTCTGCCTTTGTGTGCCATGAGCGGATGAGCCACTGCCACATGACCTCCTTCACCGTGGAAACTCCTGCTCTTTTGATTGTTTCTATCAATCAGATATTTTGTCACAGTGATGAAAAGTCCAACTACCACACCTATAATGTTCCTGTCTCAACTCCTAACTCTTAGACATATATTACCATGTACAATTTGCCAAATCTTTTTCTTGTGTTTGCTATTGAAACAGGGTCTCATGCAGTTCGTACTGCCTTGGAACTCTACGAAGCCAAGGATGGATGAGCCTGAATCTCTGATCCTCCAGCTTGCACCATCTCCCTAGTGTAACAACACCCAGTTGTATGCTCTGTGCATGCTAGGCAAGCATTCTACGAACTTAGTGACACCCCCAGCCTCGTATCTTTTTCTTGAGTATTATTCCACCTTTCAATCGAAGAGCTTATGTTTGTTCATATATAAGTAAACAAATGTCCAATGTTTACTATCATTTTTATTTAGTATTGGCTGATCCTTGTTTTGTTTTTTGTTTGTTTGTTGAGACAGGGTTTCACTGTGTAACAGCCCTGGTTGTCCTGGAACTAGCTCCTGTACACCAGGTGGTGTGGAACTTCTTAATGTCACTCCAGGCACAGCACAGGTTAGGAGCACAGGCTCTAAACCCAGGCCATCTGGGCCAGGCCCCAGTCATGTCACTTACTCACTAGCTCTGTGTCTTTGGGAAAATTTCTTTAACCTCTCTTTTAGAGAAACACAAGACAGTGCCTACACCCGAGGTTCACTGTATAAATCACAGAGAAACCCTGTCCAGAACACCCCCCTCCAAAGACAAAAAATACACATAAATATTATTGTAAAATGATTTCCTTCCTGTCTGCTGTGGTCTGATTCCCTCCAAGTTCCTTTTGAAATTGTGAACATTTCAAGTAATACTATAATTATAGTAAGCCTAGCCTGACAGAAAGGTAAAGTCTGCCTCAGAGACTGTGGTGTCCTGCTAGGCAAGTCTCCAAGCACTTCCTCAGGATGTTAGTCATCTGACTTTTTTTTTTTTTGAGACAGGGTTTCTCTGTATTGTTTTGGAGGCTGTCCTGGAACTCGCTCTGTAGACCAGGCTGGTCCCAAACTCAGAGACCCGCCTGCCTCTGCCTTCCTAGTGCTGGGATTAAAGGCGTGGGACACCAATGCCCAGCTCTGACTTGCTTCTAAAGGCACTATTCAACAAGATGCCCCCATTCCTAGCATGGGTTTCTGTTGGGTCAGGTCACATCAGTTGGGGTCCCCTGGAGCCAAATAGATGCCTTCAGTCACCAGACTCACTCTCACCCATTAATCTATTTCAACAGATATTTGTTGGTTATCTCCAAGGTTCAAGAAATACAGAAATAAAAACACTGTGCACAGGCCATCTCTTTCAAAGGCAGGCATGGTGACACACACCCTTAATCCCAGCACATGGGAGGCAGAGGCAGGCAGATCTCTTATGAGTTTTAGGCCAGCTGAGACCACATAGTGAGACTTGTTTTAAAACGTATGTTCACTTTGTGACAAAACCCGAACATACTAGTTTTCATACATACCTCGTACTTCATGGTAAAAAATCCATCTCCTCCAATGCCTTCGAGGGCAAAGGCCTGTACAATTGGCCATTTCTCTACCACAAACATATCAAATATCTGTAAGTGACCTAGAGGAATCACATACACCAACACATATCAAATACCATCCTCAATATAACAGTTTGAACCCAAGCTCATGCGGTTAGGCAGGCATCATTTCTTACAAATTTACCAGGACTTTCTCTAGCAAAATAAGTATGAACAGACAAGAGGGTTGGATATTGAAAACTAGAAATATAATGCAAAATTCAAGGAAAATTAAAATCACAAGCAACATAAATTCAGACTTCTCTATAACACGTTTACATTTTGGTTTTCTTTGAAAAAAAAAGTAAGCTGGGCAGCAGTGTTGAACACCTTTAATCTCAGAACTCTAGGAGGCAGAGGCAGATGGATCTCAGTGAGATCTGAAGTCATCCTGGTCTACAGATCAAGTCCCAGGACAGCCAGGACTACACAGAGAAACCCTATATCAAAAACATAAAACAAAACAAAAATAAAAAACCAACAACAACAAAAAAGTAAATAGTACTCTATTGCAACTGATTTGAACTGTTTAGTGACTGTATTTATTAACAGACCAAAGATCTTCTCTCTGAAGAAATAGCCAATCAGATTCCTCAAAAGAAAACTACTAAATCAAATAAAAAAGATTCTTTCCTGGCCAGCTATAACAAAATTTGCATTTGATCACAGCACCTGGAACACAGAGGCAGGTGGACCTCTGGCATTTGAGGCAAGCCTGGTCTGCGTAGCTAGTCCTAGTCATGGAGTGGCTACAGAGGAACCCTGTATCAAAACATAACAAATCAAAAATGGGTGCCTTTTTTATTACAATAGTTTCAATATTCAGTGTTTTTTTTCTTACTATAATATTAGCACTAATAAACTTGTTGATTCTCCCCCTATATTCCATGTCCTATAAACAGTTTTGTTTGTTTGAGACAGGGTTTCTATGTAGCCTTGGCTGGCCTAGAACCCACTATGTAGACCATACTGGCCTCACACTTCTAGAGAGCCACCTACTTCTGCCTCCCAAGGACTAGGATTAAAGAAAGGTGTATGCTACCACACCTGGCAAACAGATGTATTTTATTTTAATTATGTGTACGTATATGTGTGGGTAGCCATGGAGTCAGATCCCCTGGAACTGGAGTTACCTAGTATGCCTAGTATGGCTGTCGAGAACCAAACTCAGGTCCTGGAAAGACCAGTACATGCCCTTAGCCATCTTTCTAGCCTCATAAGCATACCTTTTAAATAACTATTCAAATTAGTTTACTACACTCTAAGTAATAAATGATACAGACTAGATATTAATTGTGCTAAATCCCTTATCAGTTCTTGACCACAGGGAGCTTGGTATGCTACTGTGGTAACTTCATACTTACAAAGAGAAGCCTGTATAAGAGTCCTTAAATTTCATTCTGGTTGATCCTTTGCCTCAGTGAAAATGGGTCAAGTGGTTTTCCAGCCAAATATTTACCATGAAAGAGGCAAGCACAGTTCAAACTGCATACCATCCAAGCAAGTTTCTTAAATGGCCGTGTCAGATACTCACCTTGGGAACTGTAAGGAATACCAATTCTACTGCAGTCTCGAACCATGTCCACAAAGCTGGAGATCTTAAATTCTTCTGCTGCTTCCTCATCCTCATACTAAAAAGGGAAATTAAGAGGAAGATGAGCTTTGATGAGATGAGTCATTGAAAGTTCCACATTATCGCTGTACATTCTCAGGGGCTGTCTTAAATGGCAACTAGGGAAGGATGAGTTTCTTAAGCCAATCTATCCTATTTGTTGGTCAAAAGTAGTCTCCATTTCTTTATTTCATAAACGAAAATCAATTCCAAATGGATTGATTGAGGCTTACATGGAAGAGATAAAACCTGTTCCTCCAAGTGTCTCTACAATCACATGGAAAGAAAAGTTCTTAATCAATGCTGGGTGGAAACTGCCATGACATTACAGGTAGAAAAATCCCAATTTTCTTTCCAGTCATATTCTTCAAAAGAACCCAAAGGAAATAGAAATAGACACCAAAAAACCCAGACATAAATGTCACAAAGTTTAATAAAATTTTAAGCTTTGCAGGCATGTTCAGTTTTTTGACACTGTAACCCAACATTGTCATCTATAAAGTTTAGACTCACTCAAAAATTGCATAATCAAGTTACATTAAAAATAATAATCTGCTGGGTTTATGGAACATGCCTTTAACACCAGCACTTAGAATGGAGAGGCCAGGGGGCTGGAGAGATGGCTCAGTGGTTAAAAGCACTGACTGCTCTTTCACAGGTCCTGAGTCTAATTCCAAGCAACCACATGGGGGCTCACAACTGTCTGTAATGAGATCTGGTGCCCTCTTCTGGCCTGCAGGGACACATGCAGGCAGAACGCTGAATACATAACTAAATAAATAAAAATTTAGAAAAGGAAAATTGACAATAATTAGCAAATAGTCTTAAACAAAATAGACAATAAAATAACAAGTAAGGTCCCATAAATGACTACGTCTACAAGTATGTGTTGAGTGACATTTGCAACTATTCTTGCCTGCTGTAGCTCTTGGTCTGGAGGTTGGAAAAGCCTTCAGGGGCAGTCCATGAGCATGAGTACTGGGACAGGCTTCAGACAGGTGAGGAGAGGCAGGTCAGGACGGTGGGCTCAGAAGCCCAGTGTGAAAGCCTCTCTGTCTCCCCTGGGCAAACAACTAAAAGTCTCATGGCACACAGCTTTCTACTTGAATATTCATGACCATACTCTGACACTGGGTCTGGAATGTCTCTTAAGGGGTTTCTGGTCCAAATCAACAATTTCCTGAATGAAGTACTGAGCCCATCCTTCCTCCTCACCTCATTTTCGGTCATACAGTGGAAATGTAGGTTTCTCCAATGTGCTACATAAGGCAAAAGGTATTGGTAGTTGACAGGATTACAGTATAGATGGACACTATCTGATTTAATCAATATAATCACATCTGTAAGAAAAAAAGCAAAACACAAAATTGTCAAAGGCAGTTTCTGCCCAGAAAATATTATCTCCATTAATGCATAAGATTGTAGTTCAGCAATTCAAGGTTGCATGGCCAGGCCCTGGGTTCATTTCTAATATAACAAACAAACAAACAAAAACCCCCAAACCAAAACACATAGTTATTTCAGAAACAATATAACAAAAGCCTAAATGTGCAATTATTTAACCAAGCAACAGTCAGGTGTGAACAGTAAGGGTTTCTAGTGCTGCTGTTGTAATACTCTTCCTATGATGGCCTCCTAGATATGACACTATAAGCACAAAATAAGTCAAAAGAGCAGGTTTCATTTCCTGAAACAGTGAACTACAAAGTTCGGGAAAGTCAGAGCTGTGGGGCTGATCTTGGCTATGATATTTAATTACTGAAGACAGTGGTTGCATTACTGAAGGTTGAGCCTAGAGCTATACACATGCTGGGCAAGCACTCTATCACACTAAGTTGCCTCAGCTGACTGAACTTTATACATTGCCCAGGGAGACCTTGACCAATATTCTTGCCTCAACCTCCCAAGCAGCTGTGATTTCAGCCTGGCTTCTTTTTTCAGACTAACCTGGAATTTACTATGTAGACCAGACTGGCCTTGGATTTACAGCATTCCTTCTGCCTCTGCCTCCTAAATTCAGGGATTACAGATATGTATCACCACACCTGCACATCTGGCTTCACAATATTTCTCTTTCTTTTCTCTCTTTCTTTTTTTCTTTCTTTCTTTCTTTTTTGTTTTTGTTTTTCAAGACAGGGTTTCTTTGTATTGTTTTGGAGCCTGTCCTTGAACTTACTCTGTAGACCAGGCTGGCCTCGAACCCACAGAGATCCTCCTGTCTCTGCCTCCCGAGTGCTGGGATTAAAGATGTGAGCCACCACCACCCGGCCACAATATATTTCAATGAGGAGATAAGTATCAAAACGGAAATAACATGGCCACTGAGTCAAGAAATAGCACAATTGCAGGGACTCCGCACTAAAACCAGTGTCTAAAATTCCTGGCCAGGGGCTCATTTGGCTCCAGGCAATTGTGAGCCTGGACACTGCCTGTCAGTCTTAGGAAAAGTTACTGTGTATAGCAGTGAACTCTGGACACAGGAAAGGCTGCAAGGAAGGAAGTACAGGCAAGTAAAAGAACTTCTGGAAACAAACCAATAGACTGCAGATTTAGAACAGCCATCAACACTGGTAAAATAAAGAAATCCAAAGGGTGCAAAGAAACCTAGGCAAATTTGAGAGCCACGAGAGAGGGTAATGGAATGGGACAGAAGTACTAAAGTAGCTGGGCATGGAAAATGAAAGCAGTCATAGTTCCAAAAGAAAAGCAGGCTTCATTCAATGGCTCCTCTGAAGGCAGTGCCACTAGACCTTTCTAACAGGACTAAGCTGGGGATTGCCGGAAGTGAGAAAAGTGCAGAGAAGCAGCAACCCTCTCTTATGTCTCAGTACTGGCTTTCCTCAATCCCTGTCCTAAATCAACTGTAGACTATCTGCTAAGGCAGAAACTTTATGACACCTGAAAAAGCGGGGGCATCCATTATACATCACATACACTCTACACTGATTCACTATACACCACACATACTATACACTGAAGTGTAACCTTACAGATTTAGGATCAAAAAACAAATGTTATCATAACAACTGCTAAATCTAATTAAAAATTTCATATGCTCAACAGACTGATATTTAACAGAGTAACAGTCATATAAGAGAAGAAAATATGGCCAGGTGTGGTAGCTTTAATTGTTTAATCCCATCACTCAGGTGGCAGAAGGAGGAGGAGGAGGAGGAGGAGGAACTAAGAACAGTTTTAAGTTAGATAATTCTTCATCGTGTAATAGGGGCTTTCTTGTGCATTTTGAGATGTTTAGCAGCATCCCTGGTGTCCACTAGATGCCAGTAGTACCATGGACCGAACCATGGTTACCAAAAATGTCTTCAGACGTTGCTAAATGTCCCCTCAGGGACAAAACTGGCCCCCATCTGAGAACCACTGTACTCAAGTGAGATCATCTGACATCAAATGTTTGCTTTCATGCCCTCCCCAGCTGCGTTGCAAAAGTGTGTTGTCTCTTGTCCGGTTTCACTTGTTTGTTGTATGTCTCCTGACTCATCCTGCAGACAATTTATAATGCTAAGTATATGATATCAGAGATAGCTCCTGGGCAACAGCCCACAGCAGCATCAACACATGCAGTGTCTCCAAGCCAGAGGAGGCAGACTGCAGGCAGAAAGCCTGCATTGTGTTAAAGTCACACAAAAAACAATTCCCAAAGACACCAGGACAATAGGCCCTTGTTCCTCAGCTCATGATCCACATAAAATCGTCTTCTCACAAGAGCAGCTAACAAGAACAACTCATCCTTGCCTCAAAGCTCAAAGTGCTTTCACTGGGGAACAGTGTACAATCTGAACCTTCAGTGAAAAGAAGCGGTGGGCAATACTAAGAAAAATAAGCACATTGCCAAGAGATAATGCCAAATACTGATGTCTGCTTTTGGTCTCAAAGATGATTTACCAGTAAATGTATTCTAGAAACTGCTTATTGATAGTCTGTTATGCAGTGTGTGTGACCAATAGAATATATTACCTAACAGGTCAATAAAGAAATGCCACTTTTCACTATTATCAGTTGTTAATCCCAGCTATTTGGGAGGCTGAGGCCTGAGAGCTGCCAATTTCAATACTAATTAGGACACCACACATCATTCAAACAGTAAAACAAAATAAGGCAAATATTTACTAAAGCGTTGGACTATTTAAAATTGGACCACATTTTCCCATTAAAAGATCATGAATGGGGTACTGGGTGTATGTCTTTAATCCCAGCACTAAGGAGGCAGAGGCAGGTAGATCTCTGAGTTCAAGTCCAGCCTGGTCTACACAGTGAGTTTCAAGACATTTAAAGCTATATGAGACTCTGTCTTCAATTAAACCAACAACAACAACAAAACCAAAACCATAAAAACAGAAAAAGAAACAAAAAACCTTGCAGAAACAAAAGATCATGAATTGGGTCTGGAGAGATGGCTTAGTAGTTAAAAGTATTTGCTACTCTTCCAGAGGACCTGGGTTATTCCCAACACCTGAAGGGTGGCTCGCAACCATCTGGAACTCCAGTTCCAGGGCATCCAATGTCCTCTTGTGGCCTCCAAGGATACCAGGCACACAAATGGTGCAAAATACTCATATGACAAATTAAAATTAAAACAAATTTTGAAAAAGATCATGAATTAAGGATACAAAGAAATAAACCATTCTCTCCTACCATTTGTCAATAAAATATAGACTTACCATCTAGAATTTCTTCAGAAAATCCTGTTTTCTCAAAATCAGTGGTATTCTGACTGTACAAACCAAACAGAAGGTAATTTGCCAGCTCTCTGCAACCCTCGTTGTACCTGCTGTCAATTCCTGCAAGGCAAAGAAGGCTGTGACTAGCTGTCGCACACCGTGGAACACAATAATCACCAATGATTTGCCCATTTAGTACAGCTCTGAGGTCCAGAGGCAGTTCAAACCAGTTTTGAGCTAAAACTAAATAAACAAGCCCTTGTGAGAGAAACAGACTGAAGCATAAGGTACCTTTCTTGGATCTCAAAATCCACATAGATGGGAAAATTAAGGAACAAAGATTACTAAAGCTATTGATTTCTGAAAAGCATTTTTTCCTTCAGTTTTTAGTTTACAAGTATATGGGTGTTTGGCCTACATGCATGTATGTACCATGTATGCTTGGTATCCAATGAGGCCAGAAGAGCACCCTCCGGAATCCATGAGATCCCCTAGAATTGGATTTACAGATGTTTGTGAGCCACCATGTGGGTACGGGAATCAAACCTAGGTCCTCTGGAAGAACATGAAATGCTCTTAACTACTGAGCCCCATAAAAAGCAATTGTTAAGGGTGGAAAGAACCAGAGAATATGGTCTTCTACTGATTTGCTAGATCTTAGAATACTTTCAGTTACGAAAAATGTGTGATCAAACAAAAGCAAGCTAAGGTGGTTTGAAAAAGACAAGGTTTGAAAAAGGACAAGAGGACGGAATAATAAACCCTGACCCTTCACAAACGTCAGAAGCAATGCTTAGCACTGCACTGCAAGGTGTGGTGTGGTGCTACATGTTCCTGCAGATGACCCTCACTAGTCTAGAAAAGTTTGACCGGAGACAAGAGGAAATTAAATGACACTGTCTTTACTACTGCCTCTCAATGTCTGAGGTATCCCGGGACTACAGCCATGGGCAAGATGGCAGGGGCAGGGGCACATAGCTGCTGTCTATATGATTTTAAAAAGAATGGGTTGCAGCAGGAGCTCCAAGAATGGTAAGAGCTCCTTATCTCACTGTCTTCTCTTAGTATTTGCCCTCAATAAAACAGGAGCAGATTTCACAGGGGCGGAAACTGGGAGGACACTAACCTACAATGCACCTTCTGTGACAGCATTATTAGTCTCTTCCTGAGATTAAGAATACAAACACTGCCGCTGTGCGCCCACCTTACAAAGCACTGACCTAGGATGCAGAGAATCCCATCGGGCTGAGACTTGCTGCTCTGTGTCAGGATGCTCTGAACCTGTCGGAGTCGGCTGCAGCTGTAACAGAACAACACAGTTTCCTGAGTGCAGCAGGGTATGAAAAATCCCTAAAAGGCACACGAACCAGGAATGCTTTTGTTAGGTATGGAAACTGACACTAATCTCTTTAATCAGAACCATACCCTTCTCTTCCATTTTCTGGATGAGATGGTTATGTGTAAGTGGTCCGAAGACAATCTGGATTACTGACTGTCAGTGGCTTTTTGATTCAGTAAAGGATGACACACTAAGGCCCCATTCATAATCAATCAGGAGATGACTCCAAGAATGTCCAATGTTTTTTTACTTTTGCCGATTCTGAAAGAAACATTTCCATGTTGATTTAGCTAATTTTAGTCTTTACCAGTCTGTTTCAAAAGCAACAAACAAAAGCAAAAATTGATATAAAGGGCTCATATGTCTTAGATATAAAGGGATCAATAAATTAAGCTCCAATTCATCCACATGACCATCTTGAGGGAGTCTCAGCACAGGAGAAACACTTGATTTCTAGAGAGCTATTGCTCCTTTGGCAGAAGCAACATTCCTTGCACCCAGGCAAAGTGTAAGGAGACATCTATTCCTAACTAATAAAATCTCTATGAACTCTACTGCCTTCCTATCTCCCTCTATTCCTTCTCAGTAACCCCAAAGACGAGTTCTCAGTGTCTCAGTCAAGTCTGATCCCTCACCACCTCCAGGTCTAACCCCCAACCGTCCATAAACATTTTTAAGTGTTCAGTATTATTAACCATTCGGAATGCAAACTAAAACTACCTTGAGATTCCACTTTATCAGTCATAATGGCTATCATTAAGAAAACAAATGACCACAAGTGCTGGCAAGCATGTGGGGAAACAGCGACCCTTATCTACTAGTGGGTAGGGATTTATGCATGGTAGAGATATAAACTGGTGCAGACACTACGGGACACAGTGTGTGGAGGTTTCTCGAAAAGCTAAGAATAGAACTACCATATAGCCTTGATATACCACTCCTGACTTCATACTTCATATCTGTTTATTGCTGTCCATTCAAAATAACTAGAAAATGGAATCTGCTTAGATGTCCATCAACTGATGGATAACGATAATGTGATACATATACACATCAGAATTCTGTAAGACAGCCACTGCTCCAGCCCCTAGTTTCAAACTTTTAGACTTCTATATTTAACTTGTAATGTTTGTAGAGGTCAAAAAGCCAGAAAGGGCCGGGTGGTGGTGGCGCATGCCTTTAATCCCAGCACTCGGGAGGCAGAAGCAGGCGCATCTCTGTGAGTTCGAGGCCGGGCTGGACCGACAGCCTCCAAAACAATACAGAGAAACCCTGTCTCGTAAAACCAAAAAAAAAAAAAAAAAAAGCCAGAAAGGGTGGGGGGAAAGAAGCTTTCATTGGGGGAGGGATGGTAGCAAGCAGGTGCTATGAAGTAAGAGGGGAGAATACTGGAAGCGAAAGGCTTAAGTAGGCTGGGGGTAGGGGTTTGAGGGAAGAGAAAGGAGTAGGGGAGGGTAACCAAAACTAAGGATTTATTTTATTTTTTTATTTTCTGTGTATTTGTGTTTTGCCTGCATGTGTGTCTGTGTGAGGATGTCAGATCTTGGAGTTACAGACAGTTGTTAGCTGCCATGTGGATGCTGGGAAATGAATCTGGGTCTCCTCTGGAAAAGCAGTCGGTGCTCTTATCCATGGAGTCATCTCTCCAGCCCCCAAAACTAAGGATTTATATATTTTTTTAAAAAGTCTCATGGAAACTCACTACTATGTCATTTTAAAATATGACTTAAAGGAGTGGAGAAATGGCACTTGGTGCTCTTCCAGAGAACCAGAGTCCAAGACCCAGGTCCAGAACTGCTATCTTCAATGGAAGTCATGCTCCTCCCAACCTTGCTCAGAAAAACTTCTTTTTGCAGTGGTTAATGTAGAACTCACAACTGGTCAAAATGCTAAGAACAAAACAGGTGCTCCCCTCCCGGCCCTGCCCCCCAACAAGGCTTTGTGAACATCACAGAAAAGGATGGAAGACTAAGCTGGAGGACAGGGAACAGTACTATGAAGTGTGGTCTTTCGGACAAGATACAACCACTGCACACGTGAACTCACAGTGGGTGTGGTTACCTGCACTTGCAGAGATCTGGCTGCCTCTGCCTCCGAAGTGATAGGATTAAAGGTGTGCGCAACCATGCCCAGCTCAAGTCAAAAAATGCAACATGGTTTGGAAAAGGTTCTGAGTTCCCATTGCTAGCTGAGGAGCAATTGGCTGCTGATGGCTGCTAAGGAAGGGAGAGTTAGTTTCACTGCGTGTGTGGTTACAAATATCAGTTCTCCTCAAATTAACATGCAGGGTTAACACAATTCCTATCAACTGCCAAGAATTTTATGGATATAGAAAAACTTATTCTAAAATATATGGGGGCTAGTGAAAGGACAGAGTTCCAAGCCAGCCAGGGTTACAGTTACACAGTAAGACCTGCTTCAAAAATAAATGAATAAATCTATCTATGTGGTAGACTTCCTAAGTATTCATCATACTACCCTTTCACTTTTTCTGTAGTTTATAATAAAAATTAGAGGCTGTGAGCGAAGAGTCATATGGGATAACAAGGTTTATAAGTATATCAATGTAGAAATGGCAAGATAATTTTAATATTAAATAAACTTCTTTCCCTGAGAAATGATGTGTACCTGCCCCTGTGTATTTTCTTTTTTAATAGAGGACTGATCTTGCAGTCATTTCCCCACTAGAAAGACTTCGCAAGCTAGACCTTTGGCACATTTTCTATTCAGGACAGTATGCTGACTGACTGCCAAGGTTGCCAAGAGCTCTTTGGTTTACAAACTTATAACCAGCCACTGACAAAAAGCATGACCAGATCATGTGACCAAGAAACAAAAGCGTTTCCCTGGCAACTGCTGTTGAAAGCCAAGACAATACTGAAAATAGGAGACTTTTTCCTCCTTGTCCCCTGTCCAGTGCAAATAAAGTAGGAGCACATAAATGTAAAGAGTTTCTTTTCTCCTTAAGTAGAACATTATCCTGATTAGTGCTTTCTTATCAAATGAGTAAGGCTAAATTCAGGCCTTTTTTTGCCTTTGCACACTTTCTTGCTTCTCAAATTTAATCTTTAAACAGAATATAGTTGATTTGTCACTGAACCATGAAGCATTACAGTTACTTAATTATTTACTTTTAACTAAAAGCAAAAAACAAAAACCAAAAAAATCCAATTCGTTCAAACGAATCACCCTATTCACACCCATTCACATCCATAACCCAGAATTAATCACAGTTAACAGTTAACATACTGGCATATCTGTTTTATTCATATTAGTGCCTTTTGACACTATATGTATAAAATATTTACTGTCCTTTCATAAAGAATAGAAAATTGCTGGGCGTTGGTGGCACATGCCTTTAATCCCAGCGGCAGGCAGATCTCTGTGAGTTGGAGGCCAGCCTGGTCTATAAGAGCTAGTTCCGGGACAGGCTCCACAGCTACACAGAGAAACCCTGTCTCAAAAACCAAAACCAGTAATAATAATAAAAGAAAAATAAAAAATAGAGAATTTATATAAAACTATAGTCTTCACTGATCCTTATACCCAAAGGTCATATATATGATAGTTGGTTATGTGTCTACATGAATATACCCCAAATTCCACAGTAACACTGCCATGTAGCTTACAGTACCTGAGCAAGGCTGCTACATCCTGGATAACCTGTTTTTTGCTCACAACTTACAGAGTGTTTCACCTTCAGAGTCAAGTAGTGAGTGTGCTGGTCAGTGTTATGTCAACTTGACAGAAGCTAGAGCCACTGGATAGAAGAGAGCCTCAACTGAGAAAATACCTCCATAAGACTGAGCTTTAGGCCAGCCTGTAGGATATTTTCCTAATTAGTGATTGATGTGGGAGGGCCTGGCCTATTGTGGTTGGGCCAACCCAGTCTGGTGGTCCTAGGTGTTGTAAGAAAGCAGATTAAGTAAGTCATAAAGAGCAAGCCAGTAAGCAGCACCCCTCCATGGCCTCTGCATCAGCTCCTGCCCCTATTTTCCTGCCCTGTTTGAGTTCCTTTTCTAACTCCCTCCAATAATAAACAGTGATATGGAAGCATAAGCCAAGGAAATCCATTCCTCATCAAGCAGCTTTTTAGTCCCAGTGTTTCGTCACAGCAATAGTAACCCTAATACAAGGGTAAAGGCACTTGCCACCAACCGTGGGTTTCATGGGCAGGACCCATATGGTGAAGAAGAGAACTGATTCTCCCAAGTTGTCCTCTCATTTACCTGGAGCACGTGTTCCCCACCCAGCCAAACAAGTAAATAATAAATGTAAAAAACAAAAACACCACCACCCACAACACAACACAACCCAAGGGAAAAACTCATGGAAAAGCTGAGGATATAGCTCAATGGAAGAGCATTTTTGCCTAGCTCTGGGAATAATCCCTAGAACACACTTTCTCTCCCTCCTTGATCCAATTTCCAAGACATCAAAGAAGAATCCTGCTTTTACACTATTATTTATTTCTGAGTTTTCCTTGGGTTCAGAAATAGTTTGGGCATGAGAGAGGACAACTCAGTTGTCACCCATGGGCACACAGCAGAGGAGTCCTCAAAAACAGGAATGGAGCCCTTGGCATTCTCAGGCGTGCAGCTGCTGTGCAACCTCTCGGAGGGTGAAGAGAACCAGTGACTGCCACTATGGCTGCAGAAAGCTACGGTAACAACAGCTTGGCTGTCAACTCCCAGCTAGCATGTAGGACAGATACCTCTAGAGAGCCAGCCTGCACTTGTGTTCTTGTGAAGGGCATGACACATGTGTAGATGCCTTCCTTCAATGGCACAGGAAGTGAAGGGCATGACACATGCGCAGATGCATTCCTTCAATGGCACAGGAAGTGAAGGGCGTGACACATGCGCAGGTGCTTTCCTTCAATGGCACAGAAGTCCATGCAGGATCTCTTCTACTCACTAGTTTCCCTATCACTTCACCGTTTAAACTAGAAAAGATGTTGC